CTCATCGCGAGGCGTTCACGATGACGGGTCATTATCTCATGATTTCCTCTGTCTCAGGGTCACTTACTCTTACTCGCTTATCTCGAGCGCATCTCGACGCTTGCCAGTGATCTCACCTCACGAACCTATCAGGATCCCACGATCTCATCATGAGACTTGCTGAAGCGTCTAGATATCCTCGCGGTGCTGATCTGATGCAATCTTGAGGCGCTTGCCTCGCGAGGCTCCCGGGAAATTTGTCGCTGAGAACGCCCATCTACACGAGAGAAATTTGGGACTTTTTTGTCACAAAAAATATGCGAAAAAAGCTTGAAAAAATAAGTAAGAAAAGGCCGTATTTTTTCACTCGGTATCCGGCATCCAGGCAACTCGGCAATCTGGCATTCGAGCCGATTATCCGCCGGGTGCCGCCGTCCCCAGGGCACTTTGATAGACGGCCTGGCGGACAGTCGGCTCGGCTGCCGGATTGCCGAGTTACCGGGCTGCCGGATACCGAGAAAAAATATGACATATTCTTATTTATTTTTACAAGCTGTTTTTGCATTTTTTTGCAACAAAAAAGCTCCAAATTTCTCTGGTGCTATAATCTTCCCTGCCTATTAGATCACTCGGTCACCATGGTGAGTACTTGGTGAATGGGTCTTAGCGGCGGCCAAGCCCGGAGTGTTAATGTTGATCGCGCCTTTGAGATCAGCCTAACGGTACTTCGCGTTTGCCCACGGGCCCGGCAAGATGGCTGGTGACGAAAGCTCTTCTTAACTATAACCATTACGCATCTCATCGTACAGGTCCCTGCAACCAGTCTGCAGCCCCTAATTTACACTGTCGGTACCTGATATTGATCTCGTGAAATCCGCCATGAACGTGAGCAATCTCTTTCAAGCACTCTCAGGTCAATCGTGCCTGAGCCCATAGCTCCAGCGGCGCGGAGCCACTGTACACAGGCGAAAACTGGTCGACCCAGCGCCAGTCTGACGGGCTGTTGAGGGGGTTGATTAGGGCGGGCGATGAGAGTGATTTACCGTAGGACGCACCTCACGCCGTTCAGCTGCATGTCGTACCGGCGGAACAGGTTCGCGAGGGCGAGGTACATCTCACAATACGCAAGGCTAGGAATACTCAGGGAAGAGCTTAGGAATCGATTCACTGGCGCTACGCACTTGATTCCGATGCAGCTTCGCGGACCCTTGCTAAAGGAGACGAGCCAGTTGTCCAGCGAGCCTGCGGCCGGGTCGAGCCACCGTTCGGGCTTGAACGCGTGTGGCTCGGGGAAAATCTCCTCGTTCGTGTGGACGAGCACATTGCTCATGCTCACGACGGTCTGTAGGGGATGTATTGGCTCGACAAAAAAAGTGAGAGAGTGAACGCAGCGTACTCCACCTGGGATGAACTCTCCAGAAATTACGGAGCCATCCTGTGGGACGACACGGGTCAGAGGGGTGACTACGCCATGTGAGAGTCTGAGGGACTCTTTCACGACGGCGCGCTGCCCGGACAACGAAATCAGAGATGGTCGTACTTATCAGAGGTCAACACTACTTACCAGATAAGGCAGGTTCTCCAACGTTTCGTAGCGGAGTCTGTCGTCGAGCCTCGGCCAAGCTTCGAGCAGCTCCTTCATCAGCTTGGCATACATCTGTGGATCGTCGAGGACGTGGAGCGTGCCAACGGTGAGGGCATTGCTGCTGGTGTCTGTGCCTGCTCACAAAAAGAGGAAGCCTTCATCAAGGAAGGCCTCCTCTGTCAAGATTGATTGGTCCTTGGCTTTCACGAATTCGTGATATATGGTGGAATGGTCACTATTGGCCAAGGATTGTGGGTTCGCGAAGATCTCCCGAATTTGCGTGCCTAACATCTGCAGCACGAGTGAAAGCTCAGTGTGCACCGAAGGAGCTGGCGTCATCGCACATACCTTGACCACTTTCAGGTATCCTTCTGAGTATGGTTGTAAATACCTCAACAAGCTCGACGGCAGACTGCGTAGAAACGTCATGAGGAAGGGAATGTGCTTGGCGAGGCGTCTAATAGGGGCTGTTGTGCCTAGGACATACTCGACCGGGCTGCGAAATTCCGGCGCGCTAAGTGCATTCGTTGTCTGGCCAAAACAGAGCGAGCAGATGGAGTCCAATGTGCAGCATCTAAAAGCACGTCGAAAGTGGACTGGTCTCTTGTTCAAGATATGGTCGTCGATGTTGGCACACATTTCGTCAACCTAGACAGTTCAATCAAGGTCATTGGCTGGTGAAGACGAGATAGACGATGACGTACACATTCTTGGACAAGGCTTTGCATGGCAATAATTGATTTGTGAGAGAAGAGGTTCGCCGTAAGCTCGCTGCGTTTCTTAGCGCTCTCGTAGTCCAAAAGTGTGAACGTCGACCGCGAGCTAGTGTCTACAAAGGCGTCATATAGGTACGATCCCTTCGACCACCGATTTCGTGAGCTATATATTTCGTGGAATGCCGATGGTCGAGAGAAATGGAGCTTCGTGCAAGTTGCTGTAAGTAGCACAAATCCGTCTTGAACTATCTATCTCACCTCGTTGGGGCCAATGCGGACGATCTCGCCTGAACACAACGTGAGCTGGGGGGATGTGGATGGTTAAAGAGACTTAGACCAACCATACGTCGCATGGAGCTCTGCAAGCTTCGAGGACAAACTGCCATTTTCCCAGAGATCAAGATAAGCCTGCCACCAGAGAGACGCCGCCGCAAGCTTCGGTCCTGGAAAACGGGAGAGCGGATGGAAATACACATTATATACGGCTTTCAAGAGCAAATAGAGGCACACAAGGACAGCTGCCCATGTTGCGTACGTCCACAAGGTGGAGAGAAAGTCCATCCTCACAAGTACAGCCGCTATGAGCGACTTAGGCGATTTCAAGGCTATGTATATCTCCCTCGATTTTTGTACGAGGATAAGCGGCAATAGGGGCCTCCTCCATCAAACCTAGGGAATTTGTTAGTAGCTTGTTTTCCCATCGATATGAATTAAGGAAGACGCAACAGAGTTCAGATCGCATGTGCCTCAGCAGCTGACTGCTAAGCCGTCCCCACATTCACGTATGATGGGAAAGCCCTGGGAGTATATGCACGCGCGCTATATATACGAACAATTCAGCAAGCGCAAGGAGGTCGCCAACGCACCCATGTTACATTGACTTTTTGACTCAATCGGTTGCGCGGATCGTGATACTATAGATCAAGCTATCTACTGGCCGCCCTGTGAATTAGATCCTGAGAGGAAAGCCCACAACATTGCAGGCGCGAAACTTGAATTGAACATTCTCGGTTGGATCTAGCAAGTACAGAGTCGGAGGCAGGAGGCAACAAGTCAGCTGGAAGCATGGGTATGATGCAGCTCACCATGCTGTTCGGTGCCGTCAATCTCTAAGCTGTGGTATCGGAACTCGACTCAACGGTCGTACAACGTGCCATGAGGGTAAACGAAAATTTACGACACCTGCACCGGGCGGTTGCGCCTTCGCGGTCTTCACAGTCATTGAGCACATCTCATCAGTCTGATATTTCCTCGCAATGGCTCGGATGAGGAGCTTAATTGCGGTTTTCCGTGACATGGTTGTAGGCATTGAGATGCGAAGGCTTAGCCGAGCATTCGGCTGCTGGCATTGCCGCCAGTTCGAGTTGAAGCCGTGTGAACATGATGACCCAGCGGGCCACCGCGGTAGATGAAGGGAATAGCCACCTCGGCGGCAGTATATCGCGCCCACTTGGCAAACCACTGTTCATGCTCGGATGCCTCTGGAATCATGTTGTACACTGCGAGGAGCAGGTTGGAACGTAGCCGTCTGTCGAGGCTCATAGGAGTGCCGATAGCATCGTGTAACAGCTTGTCGACGATGTCATTGAGCTGCTTGTTCGCTAGCTTGAGTGGGTAGACCGGACGGGACTGGCAGGGTCAGCACCAGGCGGGACCGGGATGTGTGCTTCGGCGTTCCTTCTCCAATGTTCTCATGGCGTAGATCACCAGGTGTACGACGTTTGCGATGCACAGGCCTAGGTGCAGTTCCATGGAAGGGTCCTCGCTCGAAGAAAGACGCGACGTAAGGATGTATGCTGTCGCAGGACGTTGCAAATAATGTCTCGCTGTTTTGTCAGATCGTGCTACCGAGAGAGCTCACAGAGCTTATAGACCGCCTGAGATACCGGTGAACGAAGGGAACGGTGTAGTCAGCCGGGGAAATGCCGTATCGTACGGGATATATCGCCGCGAGGAGGGCGCGAGGGGTGGTGTATCAACTGGCTGAAGAAATGGGAATATCTGTTTATGATCAAGACTTGCGCCAGTTATGTGGCTTGAGAAGGGGCTACGGCCCAATTCATTACGCGAATCCTTGTCTGAACATCGTCACTTTGCCATCGCCATAGAAGTAACTTCGCGGGTAGCACATATTTAGTACGAAACAAGCGCAAGCAACTCACCTCATGGCAAGTTCTCGCGGAGGACGTACACCGCCTATTCATACATGCACGCAAATGTATCGTTAGCTTCTTAATGCAGAGAGACAGGGAGCATACTGGTCACGCCAATTTCTGTAGCCATATCACGAAACTCGAGGTTTGTAGGAGAACTCCAGTAGAAACAAGCTACATGCAAAGACAGGCTGCAGGGGATCTGGCGACTGCTGTGCGGGCAAAGCTGCACTCAAAAGCTATACTCCAACGACAGATCTGCCGTACGCCAGTCTTGTAGAGCTCCGTACCTGAGAGCTTGAAGTCCTTGAGCGCAATTTCGGCGCGTAGTTACATCATAACTCACCGGGGACATGAGGCCTACATGCTCAGCAGCACTCAGCGACATAAGCGTATCTTCCTCCCCAGAAGCTTCAAGCAGTCTCAGTGAACCAAGCATTCTCAGCTCTACTACAAGAGTGCTAGTCGTGAGGATGCTGTAGTACCAGAACGAAGTCGCCCGGACTCGTCGTGGTCAAGATCAAAGAAGGGAGCGCGTGCAGGCCTGTCTCAGAAAGCTCCCGAGGGGCGGTCATCAGATAAATTCTCCGGCACACAGTGCACAGACACTTGTTTTACGACTCATTCACGACCACTCACGACCACTCTGAACGCTTCTCTCGATGTCCAAGCCTGCGGCGAAACCTCCAACATCATCATTCGCGGCGTTCCTCAACGCGCTCTCCTGGTCGCGCGCGCGCAAGGACCCCAACTTCGACGCGGGCTTAAACAGCTCCTCAGCCTGGACAGAGGCTTTCACCAGCCCCGATGGCATACTCCGCACAAGCCTCACGCAGTATAATATCAACGCGCTTTCGGACGATGAGGCCGACGAGGCCGACGCCAAGCTGCGCGAGGAGGCGGACGACCCCGTGCTGGACGCGGAGCAGGGCAAACCTGCCCGAGCACTGTATACATTCGAGGGCAAGCCCGAATTTCGCGAGCTGACGGCTGTGCAGGCGGGGGACAGGTTGGCGGTGCTGCGAGAGGAGGTTGGGGACGGTTGGAGTTTGGTCAAGCACTACGATGGCACAGGAGAGCGGAAACTAGAGGTCGGGCTGCTGCCACAGTCATATTATACGGTACGTATCATACATGTACCTTTGAATGACCCTCATTTTGACGTGTCTGCCAGTTTACTGCCGAGTTCTCCCACTCGCCCGAGCTCGAGCTCCCTTCTCCGACATACAGCGTACCAATCTGCAGAGAAGCCTCAGGCTCATCCATCACACCCCGAGGCTCGCCTACCCACCAGCTCGAAGAGCCAGACGTTCCGCTTGTACCACAAACCACAGGCGAGTGGTTCCCGAGCTTCCGACGCAGCCTCCTAGGCGGAAAGCAGCTCAACCGATTCTCGAGTTTTGTTACAAGCGGCGCGGAGGAGTGGGTGCTACAGGGTGCGGAAGATAAAGAGCCTGCACCTGTGATGGGGCACAGCAGGAGTGTCAGTACGAGCTCCGTTGCCGAAAGTGTAGGGCTTGGCGAGGCGGACAAGCACTTCGTCGAGGCAGGACCTACATGGAAGACCAAGGTCCCACCATTCCGAATCCTCGTGCATTCGCCATCGAAGCGCACATCTATGCTCTCGGGCGCGTACACCATGTACGCTGTCACGTCGCTCTTCAGCGCGGACATCGAAGAAGATGAGGACGGCGTGCCTGCATCGCCGACGCGTATCACCGTACACAGACGGTTCTCGCATTTTGTCGTGCTTCATACCGCGCTGACTCGTCGCCTACCGGGTATCGCACTCCCGCCGTTGCCAGAAAAGCAGTACGCGGGACGGTTCAACGACGACTTCGTTGAGGCGCGGCGAGGAGACTTGGAGCGGTACCTTAGTCGTGTCGTGCGACATCCCATTGCGCGGTACGCAGAGGTGCTGACATTCTTCCTGGGCTGTGAGAGTGAGATGGTAGGTCATCCCATTATCCACGTGTGATTCTCCCTTATGTCTCGCTTCGATTCAGGAGTGGAAGCGGCAATACCCTCAATATCTCTCATACCCACCTGCTGGACCCTCGTTTTTTGCACACGTTTTTCACCCTGCGTTCAACGTCGACTCTGACGAAGCCGTGGAAGTCGCAGACAAGTTTGACGTCCATACGCGCGCAGTCGGAAGTGGGGTGCAGGGCGTTAGGAATATCTATGGCAAGATCCGTCAGGCAAGCGTCGGTATGTCTTGCTGCCATTCAATAGAACTTTACTGAACGGGTATACTAGAAATGTCCCAGGCACAACGACTGCTGAGCTATTCGCTACTTTCTCTTATCACCTCGAAGCCGCTCGCACGAGCCTCGACGGCAGGAATCCCAGAAGAGGAGGAAGATCGTGACCCAAAGCTGAAGGGACACATGAACGAAGACGGTGCTTGGTGCTGGCGCGAAGGCTGCACAGGTACGTTCCTAGATAGTCTCCCCAGCTTCTGCTAACGCCAAGCAGAGTGTCTACAGCTCACGAAGGCGATGCAGAAGACGAGCGAGACGTTGCAAACTGTCGCGGACCTGTACGACGACCATGTCAGTTTTTGGGTTCTTCTCGATGTCGGACTGCCTCTGAGGACGCGTTGACGCCAGGCTCGCAGGACCCAGTTCGCGACGCATGAAGCGCTAAAATCTGTCGCGCACCCTTCTGCAATGTATGCGGTACGCGGTATCAGGCTGTTTGTTGGTAACTGGCTTATCTGCGCGTAGGGTGTGGTCGACACACACAAGTCAACGCTCGTGCGCTACCACGGGGCGACTGCCGAGGGGCATGTGAGCCTATACTATTTAGTCCGTCAAAATAACTAGCATGCTAACATGCTCGATAGGAGAATGAAGAGGTCGCTGCGCGCTGCGAGACGGTGCTGAACACGACGATGGCCGAGTTCGAGACGTATCACAATCAGAAGGCTGAGGACTTCCGGACGTTGACGACCGAGTACCTCGACGGCGAGATCGCGCTCTACGAGCAGGTGCGCCTCCTCCACCCCGTACTCCTACTCTTTTCCTAACGAAACCATTTTCGCAGATCCTTGCACGCCTGAATACCGCCCGGCGCACGTTCGACCCGCCAGTATATGACTCGCTCTTGCGGGGTGCACGGCAGCCGTCGATGTACGAACGCGAGCTCGAGCATCCGCGTCTCGCGCCGCCACCGCTGACCCAGCCATGTCCACACGTATTCGATTCGGCGCCTATGCGCCCGGTCAGCGTCGCGATACAGGAGGGCGTCGGCATGCTCCTCGGCTCGCCTACGCGGGCGAGTGTATTTGGCAAGTTCTTCTCGTAAGGACTGAACTACTGTTGTATTTGGTGAGTGGCTTGTACTCGATTTCTGTTCTGCGTCGAGAGCTGATGACTTGCACAGAAACTATCTAACACATCTGTAGCATTTTGCTGTATATGCTTGCCACATTGCTGTGATCTACATACGCATATATATGCTGTAACGAACATACTCATGTACCCTATATAATGGCATCCCCTATGTGAATCAGTCACACGAGTGTGGACAGCTCCAGTTTTCCGGTAATTAAGCTGGCCCAGTTTCGATGTATACATTGACAAGACTGCATGCGTCTATTTTGCTCTCAGCTATAGGTCTGTCACAACACGCACACGCGAGGCAGCTTTATGCAGCATGTGCCTGTAATGCCGAACACTATGCTATACGTACTACTCTCTAATACATAGGATAAACTCTAGCGATGCGGAGGACCAGATGCACGGCAGTCAGGGAAGCCGAGATCGCCCCAGCCGGTCCACCAGGGGTAGCACGCGCGGAAGGAAGCGTCCTTCTCGATGCTGTTGAGCTCCGCGATCTCCGCATCGGTGAGGTCGATGAGCTTGAAGTTTTGGACGACACGCTCGGGCGTGACAGACTTGGTGAGCACCGAGACGTCGGGGCGGTTCGCCTGGAGCGAGATGAGCACGTTTGCGGGACTCACGCCGTGCGCCTCCGCGATCCGCGTCACGATCGGGTTCGCGAGCAGTGGCGAGTCGGAGGAGCCAAGCGGGGAGAAGGCGGTGAGTATGACACCCTTAGAGCGGCAGCACTGCACGAGCTCTTCCTGTACGCAAGATCTGCACGTATAGGTCAGTGGATGCGCATGAACAAGATGGAAGGCAGACACACGGGTGCAGCTCAATCTGGTTGACAGCGGGGACGACGGTCACCTCCCCGATGAGCTTTTCAAAGAGTTCGACGGAGACGTTCGAGAGACCAATGGCTTTGACCTTATCAGGGTGCTCCTTGTGGATCTTCTCCATCGACTTCCAGGTGTCGATCCAGCTCCACTCCTTGTCGGGAGAGCCGTTTGCCTTGGCGGGTGCCGGCCAGTGCATCAGCCCTGCGTTGCGTCAGCATACATTTTGCTTCTGCTTCAAGAGCTACACTCACAGAGATCGAGGTAGGGCGTCTCGAGCTGCTGGAGCGAGTACTCGAGCGCCTCAAGCGTACGGCGGTGGTCGCGATTGTTGAGCTTCGTGGTGAGGAAGATCTCCTCGCGGGGGACACCTGACCGCCTGATGCCCTCGCCGACCTCACGCTCATTGGCGTATGCAGTCGCCGTGTCCACGTGGCGGTAGCCCGTCCGAAGCGCGACCTCGACAGCCTTCTCGACGGCTCCGGGCTTCGACTGCCAGGTGCCTGCACGCTCGTGAGCTCAGCGCACGCACGCACGCAGACGAGCAGCAGAGGACTCACCGAACCCGAGGGTGGGCATCAACGCGCCGGTGTTCAGCTTCACGTATTGCGAGATGGGCATGATGGCTATGGGATGAGTCTCGAGATCTCTTATCCTCCGGGGGCCGCGTCTTATATACTTGTGCAGATGGTGCAATTAATATTGGACCCCCTGATAATGCACCCTCGTATGGGAAAATAACTTCCTCAGTAAGCCTGTTCTCCCACATTCGCTACCATGCAATATTTGTTGCTATCGATAGCAAAGCCCCCGGCGTCACCGACAAATGGAGCAGGCGCATAGTCCACTTTGTAAGCCTCTACAAAAGGTCCTTATATCTGAAAATTTTCATTCTCCGAAGGATGGGAATGACGATATCTGCGGGCATGGTCGTCATTTTCGTCCGCGGATAACTCGTAATCGTCATCCGGCCGAATCCCTCCTGCTTCTAAAATAGGCAGGTCTATTTGTACGAGACAAATAGAGACCGCAAGGCAAAAATATATCCTCACGCGCCTTCACGCTGAAGACGCTGTGTCACAGAGCTAGCCGTCAGACGTTCGATCAGCCCGTGCGTCTGCTTTCGCCGCGCCTAAGGTGCAGTTCAACAAGCCGCAATGACATGCACTGTAATATATAACAGTTCAAGTGGATGCGTACGAGCTGAAATACGCGGAGGTGTTATGGCATAGCACATTGTAACACACTTTTATATAATCGTTGGATACATGGTCAAGTGTGTGGCTCTCCTTCGAAGTACAACATAGGTAGCTCGTTGCTGACATGCAGATCATCCTCCCACGTGTTTCCCTGGCCGTAGTCTAAAGGCTCGCCAATGTTCGCCATAACACTCCGCGCCGTGTCATTATTGAACGTCAGCATGCGCAATGAAGCCAGCTGCTGGGATGTCTCGGATTCGGAGGTGGAGGATCCGCCCTGATTGAGCAGTCGCAGATCCATCATGAAGCGGCAAATCAAAACTGGGGGCTGTGTGGCACAGATTTCATGTTAGATGAACGGAATGGCTTAACAGGGACCTACCATTATACTTGTGAATGTGGCGACAATGATTATTTGAACCTGCAGGTGATTGGTACTGTATACTGAGCAGTGCCGATGAATGGTAAGCTGCTTACAAAGTAGAAAGACACAATTTGAGTTATGTTCAGAACCAGAAGAATGCTGTTGGTGGCTGTGAGTGTGGAGACGACAAATGCAGTTGGTAGCTGAGACTTGCAAGAAGTAGATTGTGCCTACGGGGACGATTAGAGGTCAAGATCCTTGCCATTGACGCAAAGAGAAGGTTATACCGTCATGAATGAGGCGTGTGGCAAGCGGAGACCTGATGTTTAGCGACCTTGCCTCTCTGTACTGGCGGTAGGTCTTCGTCCACGTCATTGCTAGAACGAGCAAGTCTGCAACAATCAGTGGAATGCGGGTGACAAAAAGCACTGCAAGCGGCAATCAGGGATATTCGAATTCGTGGGATATGCGGCAGAAACATACAGCTAACAAGAACAATCTGAGTGTGTATGTCATAATAAGATAAGATGACGGCGGGCTTACATGTCGTCCACTTTAGCAGAGTAGTTGGGGAACTCAAGACAAGCATTAATTGGCGGGGGAAGATATTCCTCGTAGCTATGGACTAGGAAATACTTGTAGGAACGTCGGCATCAACTGCGGCGACCCGAGAATTCGAATGATTGGCATTACTTACAGCATTGGTGATCACAGGCGGAAGACTCAGAATGAGCACGATCGTAAACAGAACGTAGTTCTGATTCCATATTGCGCACACACGCAGTGCGGAAAAGACTAGCAATAGTCAGATTGCGTAACGAGCGGCTACGACGCATTAGCAGTTGTACTCACTAGCAATCTGCACGAAGCCCACTAACTCGGGGACTGAAATTATCCAACTAATGGTTGTGCAGCTGTATGGAACTTCGTCTTTAGCGCTTTCTACCTTTGATCACGTAAGATATACCTCTGTAAAAGGTCTATGTCAAGCTTAGCTGTATAACCGAAAAGTGACTTGCCATTGATCCGTTGGGGAATAAGTCGAATGCCGCTTGCAAAAGCAGTATCCATCGGGTAGACACAATGAGAAGGGACACGATGGAAAACTTCTGCTGCCATACGGTGCGAATTTCTTGGTCGAGCGTGATCAAGTGATCATAGAATACCAGAGCTGCAGCATCTAGCGTGAATATAAGATATCTTTCAACAGATTTGCACTTCACTTGAGCCCGCGAACGTTGCACCGTTTGCAAGAATGCTAAGCACACCTCGTCAGTGAATTTTTACAGTGCTCACAGAGTGGGAAACTTACATCTGTGAGACTTCGGTTGCTAAGTCAGACGACATTGTGCTGGGGAGTTGGAATGCGAGTGCGACAGCAGAATCTGCGAAGCGACTGGATGTCATGTACTCAATGCACACCTAGAGCCGTGTATATATACCTACCGTATCACAGCGATCACCAACATTCGGGATTCTGCTAATGTGCAGCATCAAGCCCCGCTCCATGGCTATGAACGCTGATGATCACGAAGATTGAGGGGGCAGATCGCTCCCTTACTGTAGATCTTCAATCTGACTTCCAACGGGTGTGGCTGTAACTTTGTAGGACAACAGCGGGGATAGTGGCGGTGGCTTTTATGACCTGTGATAGCAGCTGCAACGCGGCGGCGGCAAACTGAACTTTACAGGTGTCTGAGGGTGCGCCACAGACTTGAAATTTTCGGCTCATCTCTAGTACCTGCCGCACACTAGCGGAATCTTCTGCGACCCAAGCTGTGACCTGTAGAATCCAAGCGGCAGATCTGCAGTGGCTGTGCCTCGTGACCGCCGTTCAGTTCGGAAATCCACAGCACCAGATACTGTTGCGTCGCACAGAGAAAGCCCCTGGCGATGAAAAGCATATTTCGACTGTTCAGGCGGAAGGCGCATCCACGGGGCCCTGGAGACATCAGTGTCACTGTTATGCCCAGATCTGCAGTAAAAACCAATGTTAGATAGAGTTGGCAGAGTTTGGTGAAATCACCCTTTAAGCTGGACGAAAAAGTTACTCAAAGCGGATCACCAGGAACCCGGTATCTCGCCTGAAACTTCGCGGAAAGATATGCCAAGGGGTGGTGAGATGCGCCATCGCACAAGATGTGTCGTAGCAATGGCGTCGATCCCCTTCCGAGCGAATCCACCGATCTGATCGACGGCGGGCCGGGAGCACCCGCAGAGCCTCGAACGAGCAGGAGCCTTAATTGAGGAGAAAAATCTGATCAGTGTTTTTGCTGGCTTCAATTTACGCTAGCAAGCAACTTACAGGCTGGTCGCTGAGTGGTCGGAATTGTGGGAGCGCTATGCATTTGGATCATCGCCTGAAGACATAACGGCTAGTCCTAATCAGCGACTACGATATCTGTCGAACTTAATGGCTTCCTACCTCTGAGCGTTTGGAGTCTGACACACGTTCCACGATACATACAAATTGAGCCATCTGCTCGCAACACCTTCTAGCATCGCATGCAGAAAAATCAGGGTGAGGTCTAGTCCAGACTACACCAAAACGAGATGGCATGTAGTATGGTCGATTGCACCAAAATATTCTGTGGTGTCGGGCTAGCATTCCACATGCGGGTCGTTCCGAAATGCGAGGTAGCCTCCTCTTATCACGAGCCGCCGGCCGGTGCTCGGCATCCCACTCCCATGGACGATCGATATCCTCAGGCCCTACGCGGCGTTGAGCCACAGTCTACCCTGACGCACTGGTATACGAAGATCATGGCTAAGTCCGTCTCGAGCATATGCGCGATGGATATGTTGCGCGACCGTTCGAGCTGCTATCGGCTGCCAGTATCTGCGACGACATTGGGTGGCGGACGAGCCGCGATATTACTGCTGCGCCCTGCGTATACCCTGCGGCGCTGTACGTCTAGATCCGGAAGCGCGTTGCCTTCCGCAAGAGATTGCAGCGCTCGTACACGTCCTCCATCCGACACTTGGGGATTCCTCCCCAGGTAGCTTTCGAGCACTGGAATGATAAACATCTTAGAGAAGCTGTAAAGCCTCATTTTAGCTTGTTGAGACATCATCTGTCGAGTTCAAGTGGTATAACCATACTTTTCAGTGAGAGAGGTTCAAGCACCAGCTCTTGAAGCCACAGCTATCTGGGGAAACGAGAATTGCGATGGAGAGTTCAGTATGGAGGAGAACGTCCCACCCATCTGAAGACTAGGTGAGCCAAACAGAGGTTACTCGGCCCCAGCTTTAGTATTGGATAGCGACAAAATGACTTACAACCTGAGCAACGACTCTTGTTCTTCTTCCCTGGTATATCGAGCATAAGTAAATTCGACATCTCCTTGCTCAACTTCAAGTTGAAGAGAGACGGGCATAGAAATGTTCTCATTCGCTTTGAACCCCTCTGTCAGCAACCTACAATCCAACTGGACTGGGCTACGACAAGAGTGAGGAGACAGACGAGAGGAAAGTGGGTGAGTAAAGACCAGCTCGAGTCTGGCTTGTTATTGAGCAATACGAGCTCCTTATATACATGTCAGACTGAATACCTAGAATATACTACAAATGTACAGAGGTGTATAGAAAGTGAAAGAATACTGAGGAATCCGGGAGAACCATCCGGAGTACGTGATATTCATGACACCCTCGTATCCACCCCTCTGCGCTTGCATGACGGTTCGGACGAGAATTAGTACGCGTGAGATGTGTCCGTCTCAGCTTACAAGCAACTGGTCAGAAACAAACTCAGACTGTACAGTGTTCTAGGTCTGCTTTACAGGACCTCCGCGAAGTAGAGGGGTGGTGGGCTGTCTTCCCTAAACCTGGCCCTGAGAACGGCTGCCAAAATTGATAAGCGCCTTTCTTCTTCTCTGCCGCTATCATCCGCACTGCATAGTCCCGCTCGAGGCTGGGAAGCTTGAAGGGTAGTCAAAGTCCCTGATAATACGCATTTCCATCTTCTCTGCGGGTCCTAGTCGACGACACAGATGGAATAGACAGCACGGACTGGTAAGTTGTCCGGGATGGAATCATAGTTCCTACCATTCTCAAACATATTAACACTCTTCTACTGCCACTTTTCCAAGACGGGACCCTTTCTGACCTCTAGCCTACTTCAAAACAAGCCTGATATTTACTCACGATTGGAGCACTTCCGATCTGTACCTGTGGGCCAGCCTCTTCTGCTGGCGCCTTCGGAGACTCTTCAATGGAACATTGCTGGCGAAGATTGTGCATGATGGAAGCGGTTACAGCAGAGGCGTTGATAAACAACCTACCAAATTGCTTATAAACCGAGGCCAGTAGCTTCATTTCGACACAACCCGCCTCTTACCTATCTCACCTCGAATATGTCGGCACAGTCGGCACAGGCTCTTGTCCAGGCCTACTCGCAGCTGTAAGTATGGCCTCCGTTTTCGGCTGATGAACCAGAGCTTCTAACCCTGTCTTCTAGGCTCGTGGAAGACTACGCCATTGTGGCTGTGTCGTGCAAGTACATCCTCCGTTTCCGGTGATGTTACTCACAGTGCCCGTTCATCAGGCCTCGTCGTCTACGAGTTCTTGATCACCACCAGTGACGAGGCTGACATTCTCTGGAAAAGGCCTGTCACTACATCTGCCATCCTCCTTGGCTCGGTACGATGGTGCATGCTCCTCACGGTCGCACTACAACTTGCGCCACCAACTCGGATGGTAAGCTTAGTTAAATGTCTTTCAGTATGTAAAATCTCAAACAATGCTCCTTACAGGAGTAAGTCCGGTCTCCTCACACAACATGTTGCTTACTGGAATTCGACGCACAGCTGCAAAACACTCAGTGTCCTGGACGTGGTAATCACACTCACTGGATTCATCCAAACTGCACGTATGCCTCACGCAGCCTCTTCAAATCCGAAATACCTATTGATTTCTACTTGACAGTCTTTTCCTCCTTGCGCGTCTTCGCAATCTGGCGCCGGAGCTACGTCTGGTCGTTGCCCGTGTTCGCTCTCAGCATGGTACCAGTCGTGACGAACCTGGTACGTGTTGCTTGCACTCGTGCGGCGCGCTCCACATACGCTCTGGCTGATGCTTCTGTGCAGATTTATACAGCGATGTCGAAGTACATTTCCGTCGCGGTTCCGCTTGTCGGCATGACGTGTATCTCGGAGTCCCCGTTCTCAGGGCAAACAGTCAGCATGTAGGTGCACGTATCTCACTATTACTGTTTCAGAACACTGAATTTCGCGATATAGACGTACGTTCCGCAGGCGAGGCGTTCTGGTATACCGAAGATGCTGACGTTATTCATTCACAGTCTTGTACATTACTCGCGTCTCACTTATCCTCGCAGATACAATGGTGCTCATCCTGACCTGGATTAAGACATTTGGACATTGGCGGCACGCTCGCAGCGTCGGTGTCAAGGTGTCGATGACGACATGTTTGCTGCGTGATGGTCAGTGGTTCTCTATGCGCCTTCGCATTTCCTCGATGCTAAGGTCCAGTTTCCCGCGCAGGAACGATTTATTTCATGTGAGCGTGGCAACAATGCCTCCATCGAAAGCCGATAACAGAGCCCAACGAATACAGAATACTGCTGGCGATGAATCTAGCTCAGTTACTGACCTTCGACTCCTCTGGGGTACGTCCCCGACATGAGTGCATAGACCAGTGGCTGACGTCGGACTGAAGGACCTGGCGCCCATGGGCACGTTTGCTACGACGCTGGTGCGTACCCACCTTCCAGTTCGTCTTTCTGTTCCCATGAGGCCACTTAGCCACCGGTGCTTGTGAACCGCTTCATGATCAACCTACGGACGGTCGACTCGGAGGTGCCGGACTACTCCGTGAGCACTAATGATCAACAACAGCGAACGCCGACACTGCAATTCACAAGGTCAGCGAACCGACTGGGAAATATTGGGGCAACGCTGCAGGATGGGTGGAGCGAAGACGAGGCCTGGGACGAAGAAGACAGTGCTGCAGGAGTGGAAGAAGCGGGCCAACAGGAGGCGAGCGCAGAAGCTTGAACTGACGTCAAGTTGTGCTAGAGTGCGCACTGTTTCGGGCGGGCGGTGCTTAACATAGATAACACACGAGCAAAGAATTCGAAGCTTATAGCACCGAACGATTGATATCCCAATTAAATGTTGTGTAGTCAGCACGCGACCTGTTACTATCTGTAGATGAACCAGTCAGAATATATACTAAGTATATAGTTCTGACAGCACATGCGAAATTTAATCGACAGAAGCAACCTTACGGCGTAGAGCATAGACTTGCCGATCGGCAGTAACCGGAAGCTAACCGGGTGCTGCCGGACGCAGCCCCGGTAATACGTCTCCAGGCATCAACCACTCCGCCACTGCGAGCGAAAACAAGTCAGCTTGTCCAGTTCCCAAGCTACTTTTCCGGCTCACACGATCATGCACGAATTTGACGAGATGTAGTATTTCAGGAACAATTAACACTGCCATGCAAAGTATGCAAGCAACGTCTCTGCCTACCGTGACAGTCCATACGAAATATGGACTACAGGTAGACAGCAGCGCGCCCACAGCGATACATGTCCTTTTAATAGGAGTCCGAAGCAAGAAGGGGAAAGGGGCGTATAAGGAAGATGGGTGATCAAAACATGCAGCAGCCTCCGAAATCTGAGCAGTGAGATAATACAATGAGACGCGAGAGAAGCTGAGACTCACTGGGCCATCAAAGACTAGTCCGATTAAAGACCTGTATAGAAACAAGAACGCTACATTATAAAAGCCAAGACGATAGATGTCAAGAAGTACTCCCGATTGTTTTTTTGCACACAAACACATAGACTGTAAAGAAAAGACGTCGCTTATTGCTAGCATGACCCACCTTGATTGAGCCGACACCAATCAATCGTCGCTATCCTCGCCTTCATCATCGCTAATGACCAGGATGCACGCGTGCTTGTTCGTCTCGGGCCACCTGAACTTGAGCGCGCGCGCGGCCTCCTTGCCAGCGTCCGCGCGCGCCTGGAGGGTGCCGAGCTCCTGTTCCATAGCCCTGCACACGAGAAGCTCTTGAGCCGCCTCTGGGGGGGTACAACAACACCTGCGAAACGCAACCGGGTGAAGCACGTACCGTGAGCGCTGGGCCATCGCCTGCTTGAGCCTGTCCCGCTCCGCCTTCGTGCGCGCGGCGAGGTACCGGTTCATGAGCGCCTTCTGGTCCGCGATGTTGCCCTCGAGGACCTGCTGCTTCGCGGAGAGCAGCGCCTTCTCCGAGAAGATGGGTGCCACCGCCGGCGCGGACCTGTCGGGTGAGCCGAGCGCCGGCGAGGGCATGCTGACGGCCTGGATGGACTGCGCGATGAAGGACACGGCGAGCTCGTCAAGGCTGAGTTTGTCCTGCGCCGCCTTTAGTTCGTTGACGGTGACGGATGCAACGAAGGAGGGAGACGATTCAACAGGCGGTGTATTGGGGGCTGCGGATACGACGCGTGACTTTCGGCTGTTGAGGACCAGACGCCGCAGATCATCTTCCTTTATCGCCGCGGCGGCATCGACCGCTGCCGGAAGCGTGGGCGACGGTGTGGTCTCTGCTGTCGAGCTCAATGACTTGCCCACAATCATGGCTTCAATCTCAGACACGGGCGTTGTGCTCCCGCTGCTCGAGGCTGACCTACGGGAGGCTAGCTCTTCGCGATGTCTTGACAACATCTCTTCAACTTCCTTGCGTTTCGCAGAGCTGGGTACCTTCGGGGCGTTTCTTGTTGCTCGGGGCTCAGAAGGCGGAGGTGTCGATGTAGAAAGAGCGGACCGAGGATCTCGCGGCTGGCTAGACGCGCTAGGCTTGGCAGAAGGAACAGCAACCGGGATAGTGACTTCCTGATTCGCCGAAACAGCAAGAACACTCTGCATCTGCGATTTAGTGTCTGGCTTAAGTTTCGCGGGAAGGAGTGAACGGCCAGCCGCGGAAGGCGCTTCAGGTTGCGAAGAAATTGCGGGCGCTTCTGAAGAACTTGAACCACCAGGAGAGGAGACGGCTGGCGGCGTGGAAACATCTCGAGAGGAGACGATAGGACCAATATCGGCCTCCTGTGACAGCTGATCGCTTTCAAAAATAGTTCCAGCGACGACTTCCCGGACAGCCTTGGGAACAACACGAACATGATCGGATGCCGTCTGGGCCAAAGTCGTCTCCGAGACATCGCTTTCCAGTCGCGATCGCGATGTATCCGTGATCTTGTCGACACTTGGCACGTCGAGAGACCGTGGCGGAGCAGCTTCGTTGGATACCGACGCGGACGAAAGCGGCTGAGCTTTCGGGACGAACACTGGTGCAGTGGCGTTGAGGGACGATACCGCAGACTGAACCGGAGTAGGCACAGTTTGCGCACCTTCCTGAGGGTTAGATAAAGTTGGCTGGATACGAGAGAGAAGAGGCTTTGGAGGATCCGCTTGAGGCGCGTGCGGAGGTGGTGGTGGGAGCCCAACAAGCTTCATTGGAGGATGTTGTGCGGGGCTTACAGGCTTCGGTGGAAGAGAAGGCGGAGCGGACGGAAGTGTCGGATGTCGTGTGACGAACGACGACTGTACGGGAGAGAAGGTAGAGCTCGAAGGCGTGACTGGCGGGTGTGAGGTTCGGTGGCCGTTTGATGACAGCGGCTGAACGACTGGCGCAGCCGAGTAAGTTACCAACGGGGCCAGTTCCGTCGCTTTCTTCCTCGACTCCTTCGTCTTTGTCTTGTTATTCTGTCCAAAGTGCTTCGCAAGCTCGCCGTCTTCAATCTCGCCCTCCTCCAGTTCGCCTACGCCTGCATCAGCCCCTATACCAGGCACACGATACCAGTACGCTCTAACGTGCTCCTTTCCTTCTCCAGTCAAACGATCGCTCTCCCAAGCCAGCCTTGCCGTTTCTGCGGTGGCAAATTCGATCAGGGCCTTGCCTGCCTTCACGTCGAGGTCGATTCGAGGCGCCACAGGAGGTTGGGGTCCGAAATTCATCGCCCACGAGCGAATGAAAGCCACGTTGCGAAACTTCTTGGGAAGAAGCTCCATGACGAGCGTTCGCGCAGGATTAGGAGGTGAAAAAGTCGGCGACGGCGACTGGTACGTGCCATGATGACTGCTGCGGTCGTTGTCTGGCGGAACGCCAATTGGCTTCTTGACAATTGGCACCTTGCGAAAAGGCTCGGCTTCAGTCGGCGGCGACGGTGATTGTTCTGGGAATATAACTGATGATTCTACCGGATGCACTGCAGCGGTGTGGAAGTTGAGGAAAGCGGGAGGTGGAGGTGGAGGTGGAGGTGGCGGATGGAATGACATCGGAGCCCCTTGCAATAACATGTGTGGTAGCGGAAGGCCAAAATCAAGATACGTCATGGGCTTTGGCGGTAACGAGGTATGCAAAGGAAAAGGTGGCAGCGAGATCATCGGTGACGGCGCGATGGGGCTTCCAGAGCTCATCGGAGGAGGCATGACGGGCATAGCGGGAAGCGGATGCACGATGCCCGTCGAAGGGCCCGCCATAGCCTGCGCTATCGCCTCAGCAGCTTGTCGCTCTCTCTTGCGTCGTTTCTTCTTTGCAGTCTTGCTTTCGCCCGGAGGTGCGCCCGTCGACGCGAGAGTCGGCTGTGTATGGGTAGGAAGGGGACGTAGGCGCTGGCTTGGGGAGACTGAGTTGTCACCGCGTTTGCGTTTCTGTCCTGTAAAGGTCGAGCGGTCGCTCCCTGGACGAAATTCATATCCTATGAATTGATGTAGAGGGAGGCGGAGCGGAACGTACCATAATTCTGGTGTCCGTTAGGGGTCACGTCGACTAGAGCACTCTTCAGGGGTGGCTCGTCATGGTAATGCGTGTCGCGTAGGTAAAGAGGCGGGTCGAGCCAAGCGTCTGGCTTATAGTCATCAACGAACTCGAGCTCCATGCCTTCCTGCGGTGAAGACAGCCGCTGTTCAAGCTCAAGTTCGACGTAGGCCTCGTCTTCGTCGTCGGAGATGACTATGGGAGAGCTGACAGAACCCATGCCGTGGACAGTCATCGTAACTAGCACTGGAAACGTCCCAAGGGTATACGGAGAGGCTGGGTGAGATGATGGAGGTAACAGACGAAGGTGGGATACCCTTCAGGCTCAGCCGAGCGTAAAGCAGATCATAATTTAGTGTCCGCCACGTGACAGCCACGCGGACAAGACATCATGCGTCACTTTACCATTTGCGGATGCAAGCGGCGGCGGCGGCGGGAACGGGACATTCGGAGGACCAGGGGCTCGTGTGGCTACTAAACCAGCACGACGGAAGAGGTAACCCACTCGACGTTTAACATACAACGAAATATCGAGCATGAATGTGGGTTACATGAATTAGGCGAGAGCACGCGTTCGCCAGGCAGAATAGCTGGCAAGGACCACGCTTTGAACGATCCCATGTTGCAAACAAAATGGAGGATATACAGAGGAACGTGAAGTCGTTATGCTTGAAGCTTTGAAATGCCGTCCGCCATAGCGTCTCTAGCACACCCAGAGCGCACAATGTTCGACACGCAGTAGAGTCAGAATCTGACGAGAGCTGTGGAGCGCAAAGGAGCAGAATTCTAGTTGAACTGTATTTGGAGCCATCCTAGTTTTTAGAGTCTCCCTGATCACGTTGTATAAGGCCAACGCCAACTATAACGCCGTCCGCAAGTATATCCGCTACCTTGCGGCCCTCGTGAGCCTGGTGCTCAGCCTTCCGGATGAACTCTGCCTTTACCGCCTTTGCGCGGGCAATCTAGGACGGTGACGACAATTCTCAGCTTCTGTATGCGTAGAGACTCTTGCGAAAATCATACCTCCTGCGTACGGTGAAGGCACTCAAGATAGTCATCTGCTTGAACGCGACATTGCGACGGGCTATCAGCCGAGGCATAGCACTACAACACATAAAGGAGGATATGTGTGTGTTCAGCGTTCAAGTACGGATACACCGAGCCAGCCACGTACCTTGGCGAACTCCCGCCAGTAGCCGAAGCACCGCGATGGACCTAATACACTGTCATCCGCTGAGACTTGTTGAGTCTCACTTATACCGCACCTCCGCCAAAACCAAAACCCGACTGTCCTACAGCATCAGCCTTGTGCGCATAGACATGTATCGCGTGGTCGACGTACTGCCATGGTTGTTGAATGCTGGAAAGCGTCAAAGCCTCTTCATGTCACACGGTGTTACCCGGCGCCGTGATCCTGTGACAACAGTGACATGACGTGACCGTGAATTATTAAGCGCCCATATACGTACAGCCTCGAGGGAGCGCGACTGCACCCACCACCTGCGGCGACGGCGGAACAGCTTTGAAGCTTCACTGCAGCCATGGCAGACCAAGCAGAGGCCGCCTTTATCAAAGCCTTTGTGAATGGTATCTCGCAGCAGCCTGTCAACTATCCAGACGATTTCCAGCCCCCTCTAGAGGATTATCTGAAGAGGGTGCCAACGTTGCCTGTGAGCACCAGCACAGGTCATGCGACTTTCCACAGTTGAACTATATCACCCCAGATCGATGTACCCGCGCCTCCCGAAGTTAAAAAGGCGGACGATGTACCGGCCGGTACGAGACTTAGACCATGCATGCACCGTGCAAGCACTGACCCGAGATCCCAGGCGCGATCAGCATAACCATAAAGTCCGTCAAGCCCCCACAGACCTACACACTGTCCGTACAGGCCACCGACACTATCCAGACAATCAAGACTCAGCTCGCGTCGGAGACCGGTGCGCCCCCAGCAGACGTCCAGCGGCTGCTGCTCAAGGGCAAGGCCCTCGCGGATGCCAAGCTCCTCAAGGAGTACGACGTCAAGGACGGCGACACCGTGAACCTCATGGTCAAGCCCGGCTTCGCGTGGGATCCGGCCGCGCCGCCGAAACCGGAAGCGAAGCTCGCGCCCGCGGACAGCCCGCCGATGATCACGCTCGTGCCCGAGCCCAAGGAGTCCCGGACACGCTCCGGGCACCAGCGCATCCCGTCCGTCGTGTTGTCGCCGTCGCCGTCGCTCACGCCTATCGCGGACGAGGTGCTCGTCGACATACCCCTCGTGCTCGACACGTCGAACATACCCCCGCCGTCCGTCAGCACGGCGCCCGACACCCCGTACCACACCGTGGTCTCGAGGCCCGAGTTCTGGGGCCGGCTGCACACGTTCTTAAAGTACGTGCTCCCGCGGGGCTCTCTGTGCGGCGCTGTCATGGTAGGACAGACATTTCACATATCTAGTGTTATGCTTCATTTCATGGACACGGACCGTACGTGCCTCATAGCCACCAGCGCTGATTACTTGTATATTCCCAATACTACTGAATGCGACATCGGAGGCACGAACAGATGCCTATCTTCGACTTCAATCCCTGAATAGCGTCAGCGGACTGGCGAGTCCTGCGATTGATGTAATTGTCGACGATATCTTGTGCAAGGCTTTATTGAGTGCATAGCCCAAATCAACATGCAGTGAGGTCTCAGCTTCCAGAACCGCTTCCCTGATATATTACCGCGTAAATTGTTCCAGAGACGAAAACGACTGCAGCAAACTAGACCGGACCGTATGTGTATTATCTGCACTGACTATATGCGTTCCGACGAAATGTTCACAATCAGAGAATCCCGTGTTCGACTCTGTCATGTCTGCCTCGTGCAGCGTCTGCAATCGACCATGCAAAGAAACGCTCAGGATACTCACGAAACGATACCTAGGTGCCCGCCATGCCACTAACACCAACGCTATCCCGAATTTTAGCAATCTCGCTGACCGACAGCATACCCTTGCTCGCGCAGAAGAAGTCTTCCCACGCCTGTGCCACGTCGCTTTCGGTCGCGAACTCCGAGCTAATTATGCGCCAGGTCAGTGAGCGTAGAGGCTTACACGACGACCCAGATGCCACCGAGAACGGTCATAACTATCGCAAAACCCTGGAGCACCCAGTTCATAGATGCGAGCTCAGACGTGCTGCTAGTATGTGAACCAGACGTCGCAGAGGGCGCAGAGCCAGTTGAGCCAGACGTGGCTTTGCTGGTTGCAGAAGCGCTCGAGGCTCCAGCCTGGGGAGAGACGTGAGTGACACAGCAGCAGCAATCGAAGGGGACCACGCACCGAAGTAGGCGCAGACGAGCCCGACATCGAGGCAAGCCCGACGGAGGGCACGGTCGTGCACGCCGACGATGACGGCGCAGAGTGCGGCGAGGGTGTGCTGGGGTCGCCCTGGTGGAACGTCGACGTACCGTAGACGCCCATCGGCTGCGTCGCAGCAGTCAGCCCACAGCCCCAGAATCACAGAACACAGCCCGACGGACGCACCTCGCCGGAGTCGCCCCCGCAGCGCTCGAACGTGCCGGAGTCGTAGTTAGCAGGCATATTCCACGCGCAGCCCATCTCGTCGTAGATGTGCTGGCAGAGCGCGGGTGCGTCCGGCCCGTCCTTGCACGCCCGGAAGCAGAACTGCGTGTCCGACATGTAGTTCGTCCACTCGTGCACCTGCACGTACTGCCCCGTAAACGCATTCGAGAACACGAGCCCGCCGATCGGGTTGCCTGTGCACTCCGTCAGCCAAGGAGATGGAAGAGAATGTGGAGTGCGCACCGTTGCCGTCAGCGCCGTGCGGGTCGAGCTCGCCGCCAGCATCGCCTGCAGGGATGTTTACCTGTGTGAGGTTCCCGGTGCCCGTGACCTGGACGTAGTCCGGGGTCTGTACAAAATGCGCGCCGGAGATGGTATTTGGAGGAATCGTGCGCGTGCCGTAGCCGTCCTTGAGGCACCATGACACCTCGATACGCTCGGTGTCACCGATGGTTGAGTTGGCGCCAGGCTGGGGCGAAGCGTAGAAGCAGAAGTCGTCGACCGAATTAACTGTTCCTGGTCAGCACGGGCGAAATCTCGACAGGAGTAGGTTGCGCACTGTAAATATTCTGGCACATGGAGTCCTGGTGGTTTGTCGTCCCACACTTGTTCGTCCCAGACTGACCTTCCTCAGTCTGGTCCGGAAGGCTCGATGGCGCGTACGTCGCACTGTAAGTTTGTGCGTGCGCAAGAGGGAGCGAAAGCAAAGCAAAGGCGAAAGATACGATAGCGAACATGTCGGTATAACCGGAATGGTAGGCTGTACAATCACAAAACAGTTAAAGGAGAGGAGGCGAGCAGCTGGCTCGCGGCAGTGGGAGATGTCGAACAAGTAGAAAACGGGGCGAATAGGGCCATCCGCGCTGCAGCGCTGCCCCTATAATACGAGGGGAACTACAGTACCTACCGCTTTTGGTACGTCCCCCGTCCCTCCGTAGCGATGGCCTAGGACCCTTTGCGTAAGGGGTTGCTTCGGCTCCATGAAATATTCAATGGTTTTGAAATAGGGCCTATCGACCGTCACGAGCAGGGCAAGCGAAAAACGAGTTTATTGGAGATATCTAGAGCAAGGTAGGATGTTATTGGTGCATTAGGGCTCAATCTGCCCGCGCTCGCTTCTCAGGCTGTCGAGCAGCCCTGCGAGCCTTCCGCCAAGCGATCAGCTCGCGCACGATAGCGGCAATGAGTGGAGCTGCAACAGACGCGAACAGAGGAGTATACACGGCATACTTGTGCTCCGCCGGGAAGTAGAGCAACGCGAGCATTCCCGGGTTGAAGAATGCACGTGAGGACAGGGTGAGAGCATCGGCCGAGTGCTGCAGCGCTTGCGTAGACGACGAGGGCGCTGCTTCTAGAGCCTAAGGTCAACATGAGCAAGCTTGTCGCTTCGCAAAATGAACAAGAGAAGCCGCACGGCGTCTAGAGCGATCAGAGCGTCCTGAACATCGCCCTTCACATCTTGACCGACGGGCATGTTTTCGATTTGATGGACGAGTTTTACAATACTATTCAATGTCTCTTTGCTGTTTTCAAAATTTTGCCGAGCTCGTTGGCGAACTAGTGCATCCAACTGCCATTCTGTGAATGCTTCGGCTTGAGCTGACCGAACGCCAGGCGGAAGGTCGGGGACACCCAACAAGGTTAAAAGCTGGCGCTGGAACGTCTGGAACGTCTTCTCGAGAGCCGAGACGGCAAGATGACCGGGTGGGTTGCTCAGCAAAACGATACCGCCCCATTGGGGGAGGATGAACGCGTTGGAAGACGCTGAATGTCCTACAGTCTTGTCAGAGCTGCCTGCAGAACTGAGGATCGCGTAAACTTGCCCTCATGATCAAGAATATACAATGGTGCATTACTTGAGGATGGTACAAACAGTACGAAGTGCAGCACTGGATCGTTCGAAGAGCTTGATGCTGAGTCCAGGATTAGGCAATTGAGAATGCATGTATGCGCGTTCGGTTACCTAGTGTCCATTCTGCTGAGTTGACGAAGACGGTCAGGTCTTCCGGCGTGAGTCCATGAGCATCCTGTCCAGCGACTTTGACGGGTCGAGGCTGGAACGCGAGGGGTGCATGATATTGCACTTGACTTTCGATGGTGAAGTTATGAAGAATGGAAAGTCGATCGAACGTCCCATGCAGATATGCTACGAGAATGAGGAGTGCTGACAGAGTTTGTACATAAGTGAAACGAACCTTCTAACGCCTCGCGGACGTCCCATGAGAGTGCGGCTTGTCCGGACGAGGCGTCCTCATTCAAGAGCGTGAAGGCCAGTCTGTACCGAGACGAGTACTTGACTGTTCTATGCTCTTCGCTTGCAGTTAGTGATGCATGTGGCGCGAGCAAATTGGTGACCGTTTCTGCCACGCGTTGGGCTAAGCGGACAGTTTGAGTTGCAATTGCGTGGAGGTCAACTTGAGTACATACCTGCATCAGCATGCCGATCGCCGGTCCCTAGATGCAGCGTCCTTCCATCCACTTTTACGTCTTCTCCATCTTCTACGACCACACTGTAGCTCCCCGGTCCTGCTTTATACTTCAGCCCCGTCATTCCAGTGATCACGCGGTAACATATGCATACACTCACCGTACGGGACCCGCGCTCGATTTTCACAATAAGTCCGCTAGTTTGGGCGGCATGATTAGTCCATCTCGTCAGCTCTTCGCCAAGGATACGGGTGTGTTGTTCTTGACCAGCTTCCAGCTTGACATGGACTGGGAATGACAGCTACCAGGGGAAATGCTCAGGACTTGCACAAATACCACACCACACATAATCTCTCACGTGTTTCTCCGTTAATGCACGAGCTCTACCGTCCGGTAGCGACAATCGGTCAATGCTGGTGGTCTTCCACCACAGCGGTAGCGCGAGTATGACGATCAGCCAGTACGACGCGATGATCCGCCTGCGGTTCTGCGTCGACTCGAAGGTTATCTTCGAAAGGTCAGCTGGCGGAATAGGAGGATTTTCAGCAGCGGTGTCTGCCATTTTATTACAAAGGCATGGATACTGAGAGAGAGGTGTGGTGGAGGGACGAAAGAAATGAGGTGAAGCGCCGGCATGCGCTCGTCGTTCCACCACCACCACCACCACCACCACCATAGTGATAGACAGGCAACAAGCTCTGCGGCCCATTGCATCATCTTACATAGCGTGAAACATGTTGCGGTATTTGATTACACGAGAGATAGACTGCAGTGACGACGTCCGAGGGTCATACTCTTGGAGTCAGCTAAGTATCATTTTATTCAAGTGTTGTCGATTCTCAGCGGTCCACCAGATTTAGCTGGTTGTAATACCTACTCGCGTATCCGCGCGATGTACCGGGCCCTAGTGGCTGTTTGTTTTCAGTTTGCTCTTTGTTTCCATGTGGCTCATGGTAAACATCTACGATCCATTGCTGCGGCATGCCGGTATGCGGCAGCTCGTCAGGGTTGCTGACGTTTTCCTTGACCTCATTAAGCATCCAACCTTATTACGGCAACTTCATGTGCTCGCTGTGTGCTTGGTGACGCGACGCACAGATCACCAGATGCTATGTACGTCTCACGGTGACTTCTCAAGCATGTTCTAGCACCGGCTACCATCAATTGCTTCATGAAACTCCGTAAAGCCATCCTATTGAAGAAGCTGCCCTCAATCTTCAGTGAACACTTGCTCACGATGCCGACGCGTGCACGTGAAGTATTACATGTGGTCGCACGAATGATAAAAACTCGCCATGACGGCTGTGGTGCGCTCCTCCTTTCAAATCCGCTGCTCGTGCATTTTCATAGGTCTCGCTATTGGCTGAAGTACTGAGCGTATGAACGAGCCGAGGCACTGCCAGCTTCTGGTTTTGTAGACACCCGACAGTCTTCCACGTAATTGCAGCAAGGAAGTGCTACCAACCATGGCCAAGAGCATGCAATCCCCCTCCGCCTCCCGCATGGTACTGCCATTCCGGAAGCTTCATTCTGAAGAATTGCATTTTCCCTGGGTGATTGATCATGGTATCGCGCTTTTGACTAATTCTCTTGAATTGCAACGCGATCGCCGACGGGATCGTTGCGGTGTAACCCGTATTTCCAAGGATGTCCTGGTCTACCCTCATCTGGGCTTGCCTTATAGGCACTGCACCCACCTTTATCTCTGCGACACTTGCAGTGGCAGCCCTTCCTTCGTACGTTCTCCAGTTCGCCCCGCTGTCCCACCTCTACTCGAATGAGACGTATTTCCCTACCGATGTCGCCGACCACCTCACACATGTGCAACCTGAGATCAACATGTCCGCCATCGCCGACAGCGTGACGTTCTCTACGATCAGTTCGCTGGCTAGTGACGTCTACTTAACTTCAAAGGACGACATCGAAAACCTGCCGTCCTGGCCGAACGGCGTCAAACCGGACACCACGGGCCTGACCAGCGCGCCTGCTACGATTATTGCGGTGCAAAAGCCTGGCGGGATCGTCGACGCATTCTATTTCTACTTTTATTCTTACAACTACTGTAGCGGAGCGAACGGTACAAACCGTAACGCATAACGCACCCCCTCACCGGTTTGTAATTCCGGTCTTCTTGTCACGCTTCATGGCTTTTCAAGGGTCTGAAGGGAGCATAAGCCAGTTTTTATAGGCAGTATGACTATTTCTCTGGCCTTTTCATTGCTTTCAAGCCTTCAGCAAGGGCTGTAGTTGCAGATAGGATTGTCAGAAGCACCTGATTAGCCAATATTTTCCCCCACAAACTAACATGTCACGCATAACCCCAGGCCGGTTTGTGGCATGGAGGGCAAGTTAACTGTCACGCCTCCCTGGCCGGTTTGTACCGTTCACTCCGCTACAGTACGCTACCGTAAGTTTCAGCTAATAATACCCGGTGCAAACAAGCTAAGGCACAGTCGCACAGTACCTTGACATTCAGTTTGGCGACCATGTCGGAGACTGGGAGCATTCGATGGTACGCTTCGTAAACGGCGTTCCCCAGGACATCTACCTCTCCGCACACGACGGTGGCTTTGCATACACCTACGGCGCGCTCCCATCGCAAGGCGGCCGTGCGGTCACGTACGTCGCTAACGGCACCCACGCTAACTACGCGACGCCCGGCAAACATCAACACGACCTACCTCTGCTCGACGATTACACTGACGCAGGCCCGCTCTGGGACGTCACGCTGAATTTCAGAGGATACTGGTTTGACAACTCGACGCAGACGTTCACCGTCGCGAATGGTGCGAACGTGGGCGGGGAGGAGGAGGCGAGCGAGGGCGTCGGCTGGCTGGAGTTCGCGGGGCATTGGGGCGATCAGCAGTACGACCTACTTTTCGAGGGCCAGTATTGCGTCACCGCAACCGAGTGCAAGTATGTCGACGGACCGACAGGTGAGCGCTCCAATATGTCAAGCCCTTTCTGTTAATGCTAAGATTGTGATCACAGGGCCGATTGCCAAGAACCTCGGCCGTACTGCTGTCTGTCAGAACGAGTCTTCCTGCACTGTCCAGACCTCTGTGTAGTTCCGCGTGCGTGTATCAATAACGGTCTCCTTGCTATGCCATGGGAGCTGAGCGTCAGCTTGCCAAATTGGGGTCCCGACACGGGTCCGCTCTTGTCCGCTCTTTCCCAGCAACAACTATTTTCTATTTCTGCTGAGTCTTTCCATATGCATAACCCTCTGCCCCAGAAACGCCTAGGCACATGCATATTACACCCATTCTGACTCAATTCCGCAGGCCTTCAAACAGCTGCGTGGCCAACTCCGTTAGACTCGGTCTCACTCGCGCAATTCCTCCGCTTCTATTCGGACTCGGACTCTAACCCGAGAATAGGTTCGCCGCACGCCGGGTGTGTGTTTGCCTGCAATGACGTCTCCGTTTCGCGCCTGTGTCTGCGTCTGTGCGCGGTATATGTATCGGCTGAGATAGGGCGCATCGTCTGGTCCCGCCTGCCCGCTGTCCCCAGTCTATGCCTCATCGATGTCCGACTCATCCTCTGCCGCGTTTACGTTCCCCACAAGTAGCAACCCGTTCGTCGGCTCTTCGAACGATGGCTCATTCTGGAGCGGCGCCGGCGGTCCCGCGCTCGTCGTGATTTTGGTCGCCATCGGCCTCCTCACTACGCTGCTTGTCGCGCTGCTCGTAGTGAGGCACAGGCGCCTGCAGTTCGACGACGACGACTTCGACTTCGACTACGGACCTCTGACCGTGAACCGTTTGCGCAAGCGGAAGTTCGGGCCGAAGCCGAAGATCTTTGAGCTGCCTATTGCATACGAGAAAGAAGACTACGAGAAGGGAGATATTGAGAGGTGGACGGGTATCGTGGTAAGATAACACCTAATTTGCAACTATAGATCATTGGTGACATTGGGATCAAATTAGCCTCTCTCTGCTGTCTTCGTCGCAGAAAAACCCACTCGATCATGGTCAAGGGACTCTGAGAAAACCCCCATAAGCAGCCCGACGAGCTCGAATGCCTCACCAACGTGCGGGAGTAGTCCGCCTGTTCAGCCTTCGCCACTTGTCTATTCCACACCAGAACCTGTTACGCCCGCCTCATCCTTCAGCCTGCGACATCTGCGTCGGTCACCCAGCGACACCCATGGTTCCCCATCACCCGAACCCGAGCCCGCACTCGTCCCAGATATGATGCATATCGCAGTCGCAATTGCTATGCCTCGTCCTCCGAGTCCGCCGGCGGGGCGATCTACGCCCGAATCAGCTACACGGAGCAGATCAGCTACCCCGACAGCAGTGCCTGAGCTGTGCTTAGGGATCGCACAGGTGCAGGGTGTAGATGAGGACCGGTGGAGCGAGCTGCATGTGCAGGCAGCTCAGACAGAGAAAGAGGAGTAGCTGGAAAAGGCTCTGCGGGGAGATGCCTGGCGGCCCTCATGATCGCGACGACTTCATCACGACTCTCTCTCGATGACCCCGTAGCTTATACTATACCATAGTAAGATGTAGCTTAGAAATTTTGTTGTATTTTGTCTGCTTCTTTCAGACGTACTGTTCAAAGTATAGTAGTCGGTGCTCATGCCAGCAAATATTAGTATCCCATACAGCGCCAATCAATTTACTTTGTGGCGTCGGCCATCTCGGGAGAACTCGCCCGAAGTCCGGCTTTCATCTTTACTGTCTACTTCCACCTTCACTTTACGACGGCTTTCGGGGCGACAGATACAACCATGGTATGGTTTATTTACCGGACTAGGGGGTGGGTTCTTGCGCAGTGTGGCTGGGGCGTCGAGCTCGAGCTCGTATTTGCTCTAAGTCGTCATGGGCAACGAGAAGAGCCCCACGCAGGCGACGAGTGAATGAAGCGAGTGCCAGCGTTTTTGACACGATGCTTTCATATTGATAGAAACGATACTATGTTACTGCAACATAGTCTCTGGTGCGGTGGACCAAATCAGTGAACAGCGGGCCCGGACGCCTTCAAGGATATGTTCTACTTCGTGAGAGCGTTTGCTAATACATCCGAAATCCGAATGTGTTGAGCGATTGACGACCACCTCATCGAAATGTTCTGACCCTCTTTTGGTACCACGTTGTCATAGCTCCTCGGGTACCCCGTCACCTCAGCCACATTCTAGACACGCTTTCCGTTATCACGGACAGACTGGAAGGGTACATATATCCCCAAGGCGCGCAGGTCGGTATCTGTTGGCTGTCGTATAATGTCCTCCGCTCTTTTTACCAATCTCGTGGTTCGTCCCAGGAAATGGCAACGCCGTCGCTATAAGGATAGCCAGTCGCGTGTAGCTCGTCTACTTGCGCCCTCTGTCTTCCTCTCCTTCCAGCGTTGACCGCCTGCACTGCTTGATGCAAGTCTGTTCATCACGCACCAGTATAATATACGCTAATTCCTTACTTTCTATACAGGCGGTGTTTATAAATTCTTCGCTTTCGTCTTTCTCTCCGTTGACGTCCAGGATGGCACTGCGCGGAATATTGCTGGGGAGGCGCTTGGTCCCTCAAAAAAGTGCGTCCATTCCCACTTTGACATGCCTGGAGCACACTAAATCCTGTCATTATTCTCCTTGAACCTTCAACGACGGCATTTATATTCCAGCTAGTGGCAGTGCTACGTCCCGGCAGACTCGATCAAGCAACTCTCAGAAAAGCTTGCATAAGAATCCAGAAAGCCTCGATACTGAAACCTCAACAATCCCCGTGGAATCTGGTCCCTCTCACACGTCTTCTACACCGCTTGCAACCTCTGTTGCAAGTCGAAGCGCCAGCCCCAAGAGCATCTCGATCGATGGCACGTATCTCGTATTTCCCGTTAGAGCCTCCGTTAATAATGTATGCTATACATCAGATGACAGCGATAGCAGCGACAGTAGTAGTAGCAGCGGAAACAGCAAGAACAATGGCTCTAATGGAGGCTCGAACCAGAAGGGTAACAACGACAAGACGAGTAGCAGCAGCAGTAGCGGCAATAATGGTGGCAACAGTTTCGGAAATACTGGCAGCAACAGTATCGGGAGCAGTGGCAGCAACAGTTTCGGAAACAGCGGTAGCAGCAATAGCGATAGCAACAACGACAGCGGGAGTAACAGCAGTAGTGAGAACAAGTTTAGCGGCTTCCCGTTTGACGCTATCTCACCATGTGAGATGGTGAGCGACAACGATGGCCGACTGCAGTACTCTGGGACCTGGACCCTCGAATCCAAGGATCCCAACGGCATCTACTTTACCTCGCATACCACGAGCTCTGCTGGCTCGCAAGTGTCTATTGCGTTCAATGGTACGCAAGCTGCTCCCGCAATATTTCGTCGTACTCACGCTCTTATGGTACAGGTACTGGCGTTACAGTTATCGGTATTGTGCATGCCAGCAACGCCACCGTCCTGCCCGCCGTCGCCTCTTACCAGATCGACGAAGATGCTCCGGTGATGCTCCCACTCCCGATCAGCACCCGCGACATCCCGAACCAGCAGTTCTTTGAGTCCCCGAACCTACCGCTCACAGTGCACAAGCTCCTCATTAACGTCACGAGCAACGGCAGCCCATACACGCTCGACTCGCTGTCGATCTGCTCCAAGTCGACGAACACGATCTCCGACGTGCTCGCACCGGTGCCCCTAAGCTCGACGCGGAAGGATCTGCCGGAGATCATTGCCGTCGTGGTGGGCGGTGTGTCCGTGCTGCTCTTGCTCGTTTTCGGTGCTATCATCCTGCTCCGTCGGAAACGGCGCAAGACACAGGCCAAACGGAACGTGAGGAGTCCGATCTGGAGTTGGCTGCAGCGGCGTACGTACGTCCACTGCAGCAAAACGCCTCTGGCTAATTTTGCATGACAGAGACGCTCTTCACCTCGAGCGAGTCCATCATGCGCAACAACCCAAGCAACCCGAGCACCGTCGATCCGTACGACAAGCTCTCAGCTGCCGAGAAGGCTCGGCCAGAGTCCTCCAAGAACAGCGCCCCCGACTTCTCTGACAAGGCCGACAGCAACGTTCTCCCCTCCATGCCAGAAGCGGCGCTAAGGCGCGAGCCGGGCAGCGCGCTGTCGGATCGGTCGAGTGCCGTCCCACGTCGCAAGAGCGACGACTCATCGTGGCTCCTACCCGTGCTCAGTCTCGACTCCGAGTCGCTCTCAGACAAGCTGGAGGACAAGATGTCGGAAATGTTACCGGATAGCGCCCAGCCTGAGTCGTACATGTCTCTGCCGCCGCACCCGCCGCTCGTGGTCAAGCGGGGGCTGATATGAGGGAATCGCAGGCTGTTACCGATTTGTGACGTATATTATAAGTAGTATATGTAAGTCTGTGCGCGGACTACGATTTAAACCTGCACTTTGAACAATGCAAGCTTTAGTGTATTGTTACAGTCGGCTGTAGGCACAGCATCCAAGACGAATTATCTAAGTTTTTATACTTCCAAAACTTGCTCGATTCCGACACAGCTCGCTGCCACGAGCTGCGTGTTCAAGAAATAGCAGCCAGTACGACTTCAAAGGTGCGACATGTGCTCCGGGTCCCACATCTTGCCCTTGATATACTTCAGGAGCTCCGTGTCGTCGAGCTGCCTGAGCTGCGAGTTCCTGTCCACGCTCTGTACGACGTCCGTTAGTCTCAGCTGCATGAATTCGTAATTAAACACAAAGGACGCACTTCCTTCTGCGCAACACGGATGACGCTCAGCGCGATCTGCGCACTGATGTCGCGGATGCGCTCGACGCGGGGATAAATGAGCTCGAAAGCGCGCTCCTCATCCGTGAGCGACTCCGCAAGGCCGAGCGACGAGGCCTCAATCATGCTGTCCGTGACAGTCGACGCCTTGGCCAAAATCGCACCAAGACCGATGCCTGCGCCTGCGGTTCAGCACCATACGCGGGAAAGGACAAAGCAGAGAGCACGCACCTGGGAAGACGTACATGTTGTTACCCTGGCCGGGGTAGAGTGTACGCCCCTCGTAGGAACATTCCGGGAACGGCGAGCCCGATGCGAAGATGACGCGGCCGCGCGACCACTCGACGGCGTCGGCGAACTCGCACTCGGAGAGCCGCACCGGGTTTGAGAGCGGGAAGACGATCGGGCGCGAGTTGTGCGCACACATAGCTTCCACAACGGCCTGGTTGAAGGCGCCCTTGATCGTCGAGAGGCCAAGGAGCGCGGTCGGCTTGACGTGATTGACGATTTCGACAAGGTCGGTCATCGGCGGGCCGCTGTAGTCCTTGCGCGAGAAGACTGCGGGGCTTGTCAGAGGCTGGCCACAGACAAGGAGAGCGAATGACATACACTTCTTGTGCTCGGCAAGCTTGCCGCGGCCGTCATAGATAAGGCCTTGCGAATCGACGAGCCAGATACGTTGGCGAGCCTCTTCCTCGCTCAAGCCTTGCAGCTTGAAGAAGCTCATGAGTTGCATGCCAACACCGACGCCAGCGGAACCCGCGCCGAGGAATAGGATGCGGTGGTCGGCAAGAGGACGGTCGGAGGCAGCAGACGAGAGCTTAGCAGCATTGAGGAAGCCGGAAAGTACAACGGCACCGGTACCCTGGATGTCATCGTTGAAGAGCGGGTAGCGGTCGCGGAAGCTCGACAGGAAAGAGAACGCCTGGCGCTAAGATTGAGTTACTAGATGGCCTAGAACTATGTGGTGCTGACCTTATCCGTAGCGAAGTCTTCGAATTGGATGAGCAACTCCGGGAACACGACAGACATCTCGTGCATGAACTCCTCCATGAATTCGTTCATCTCGGCCTCGGAGATACGCGGCTGGCGGAGACCAAGATAAAGCGGGTCCTCGAGGTACTTTTTGTTGTCGGTGCCAACATCGATACAGATCGGGATCGTTGACGATGGGCGGATGCTGAACAAGCTTTAATGAGCACGAAGGAGAGGAAATCTACTATATAGGCTCACCCTGCGCCCGCAATGTAAAGGGAGAGCTTGCCAATGGAGATTGGCATACCGTTCGCACCAAGGTCGCCGAGACCGAGGATACGAGAACCTTAGTGGCGATATCAGCATGCCCTGGATTTTATGGACGGTTGAAACATACCGTCTGTAACAACAGCAATGCGTGCGTCGTTAATGCGAGGCCAGTTCCGCAAAACCTTGCCGATGTTGCCCTTGTCCTTGTGGGACACGAACTATCCATAGCAAGTCAGACCGCTGGGGGTGGACGCAGCGTGGATTCACATACAAGACCATCTGGCCGCCGGAAGATGTGCGAATACTGGAGACAAGCATCCCCGACGGTCGGGGTGTAAATGAGAGGTGTCATTTCCTGTGCAGTATTAGGAACCAACTAGATCCAGATAAAGAATGCGTACTGACCGACAGGTGCTCGAGACAGAGTTTGTAAAACATGTTCGTATCCGCATCCTTGAGCTGTGAAAGATAAATGTACTTCTCGATATTCTTGTCCTTGGACCGCAGCTGATTAAGACAGCGCAGCTTATGGACGCTCGCCTCCATGGAGGGTGGGGTCAGACCGCGGGGCGGTTTGGGTTGTGCTAAGCAACGGCAGTGATGAGCAAAATTTCAAAATGGATTGAGAATATCACCAACGCTGTGGGGAGACCTTAAGTCTCTGCACGCCATTAGACCAATAGGGAGTGAGCACTATAGTCATGACAGCGATGTCAGCGGAGGTTTTTCAAGTTTACGAAAAGGTGAAGACAAGGATTGGATGATCTAACTCCAACGCAGCCTCTTATGTATCCATGGACAAGATGGCGGCGTTCGGATCGCCACGGAGTGCAACGTCGCGGTGGTAACATATCATGAGTGAACTCAATCACAGGCAGGTTATGAACGCTCATGAGTCATGCCAGGAGCCCCTGGTGACCACTATGCCCTGTGAGAGACAGCAGCAGGAATGGCAAGACTCCTCAGGATACGGGAGGAGTCGGAGCCTGGCTCTGGGAGTCTCTCACACGACACGAAAGGAGAGGAGAGTTTAGACACGACGAGTGATTCGTGTTGGGGTTCAGAAGCACTCCCCGAAGGGGTAGCAGGTTGATCATCCACCCGTCTGCAGCATGATAGACAATGGACGGATGACAACGAGATGATCACGCTCACCTGTTCTACGCACCAGATTCTGCACCATGGTTGGTTGCTATCTGCAAAAATTTGCGGTCACTTAGCCCACAGGCTTGCGGTGTGCGTAGATGGAAGAAGCTTAATAGGAGAACGTACGAAGATTATACAGGCAAACAAGCTCGCCCCAACCCCAGAGGAGTGGTCTGATGAGAGGAATGAGTCGATGTGAGACACGAAACGACCCCACGGGAGCCCGTCTGCCGCGTTTTGAGGCGACGCGGAGGACGCTCCTGGCGGGTAGCCTGCGCCAGACGTACCTCTTGCGGGCGTTACGGTGTCTCCTGTCTCCGTTTCCGTCAAGATACTCCCTGCATGGAACCCGAGGTTGCGCGACACGCCCTTCCCCAGCTCTCGCGTACGTGCGCCTGAAACCCCAACTCATCCATATTCTCCCTAGCCTGGGTCAGATGGCGCAGCTTACCCCTGTCGGCAAGCACAAAGAGCACAGCATCGCAGGAGGAACTCGGAAGCAGGCATTCACGAGGTCTCTCCAGACTCGATCCTGCAGTCTCGACGCGGCCTTGACGCACTCCGCATGTCAATGGCTCGGACGACCCAACAACCGGGTCTGGCATCATGCATCAACCAGGCCAGGACGTCATGGATACAACATCAGGACTGGTTCGATGCCGGAGTTGCTGTCGAGTCGTGTTGGTGGGCTTGTCGGAGCTTGGAATTTCTGCTTACTGCGGTAACAAGCTATATTCCCACACTTTGTCGGGTCGCGTAAGAGTGGTAAGTAGTTGAAGCGAGACATAGGTACATCCCTCGTTCCCGCCATCGCGACGGGGTACAGACAGCTCAGAGCGAGAAGTGCGCACGCGCACCCGCGGAGTAGTTCTATAGCACCACTCCGCGCAGCGGTGATTGTATTCGCGCATGAACTACCCACCGCAGGGACCGGGCTTGCGGCACGAGAGCAGAAAGACCGGGGTTGGCCATTCGTCTTGCACCGCCGCCGGCCTCGGTAATATAATACAAATTTCGGGAGGCCGCTCTGAGCAGTACCGCTTGACTGTTGATCAGTCTGGCTTCTGGTAAGCACCGCTTCGGAAACGGCATGTTCCGCTGCTGTGAATGCGCTCTCGACGCGCCACGTCGCCACGTTTGAGGTAAGCCCATGACATCGTATGGCTACTCCGACTACATACACAAAATATGGAATATCTCGGTACAAGCCCGCTCGTAATAGATACATGAGGACCTGGCAGTACAGATATACATATTTAACTCAGTCTAGAAGAAATAAGCCCTAGCGGTGGTAGGTTCAGGGACCTGTTCCCTTTAAGTAAGAATACAAAGACCCATAGCAACAACGGAAGCGAGCCATAGGCTCATATTTTCAGCTGCATTAACCACCCTGACAGCGCCACTGCTGGAGCTGGCGGCCTTCGTAACCGCAGCCTGGAGGTTAGAGGGCACAGTGGTCGCTTGAATCATCTGTCCATAGTTGACGTTCGTTGGCAGGTGTCCGTTCGCAGAGTAATATGACTCAATCTTGTTAAAATCCCAAGTCGGAATCGCGGATTGAGCCGCGAGGAGGGTACCGGTGGGCGCAGGTTGGCCTGCGAGCGCCGCATCAACACGAAGGTCGGCTTTGGCAGAGCCGGAGGTGGTATTTACGGAGATGCCGCCGTCGGAAAGGACGAAGCATGAAGTGGTATTAATGCCCAGGGCGGGGGTGAAGGGGATGTCGCGGCCCCAAAGCTGTAAATCCCAGTTGTCCGGGATGCCGTGACCGACGAATTCGCCCTTCTCGAGGATAAGTTCTGCCTCGGTGCTCAGGGTCATGCCCGAGCCAACGACGAAGGCGGTGCCGAAAGACTCAAAATCGTCCGCGCCAATGGGCTCACACTGCCGATTGACGTTAGCCTGTAGCGCGGCGTTCACGCCGACCTTCGGCATGTTCTGCACCAAGCGAAGGGCAGCCCCGACATCGACTGAGAACGCTAGATTAGACTCTTACGACCACCGGTGAAAGAGGCGGCCTACGGATTGTAAACGAGATCTCGGCGTAAGGCGCAAATGCCATGCTAGTCGAAATGTTAAAGTCTCCCGCGTTGACTCGGAAAGGGATCTGATCGATGCCAGAACCATCCCTGCCGAGAAATGAATACAAGGCATGGCACCAATTCGGTGGACGACTCACCATCCTGTCGCAGAGACAGTAGGATCCCAATCTCCAGTTGAGTTCACCAAGCTAACGGATGCAAAAGCGCCGCTTGGAACCTGTGTTCAGATTAGGTGAGCGACCTCAGGCCTCAGCACTCATATAAACTTAAAAAGCTTACGTGGCCAGTAGCGCCGAAGGTAAAATTAATGCTGCTTGTAATATCGAGCTCGAACGCAATTTCAATGCCAATTGCAGGGCCGAGGTCAATCAGAGAGGGGACCTGAAGCAGCCTAATTAAGCCGGTGCACTGTGATACATGAGTGAGGATTCACGCACGTTCAAGGCAGGAGCCACGGGAATCCAGAGTATCCTGCAGGCAAGAAATCAGGACGGTCTTCAATCTCAAGAAAGATATTCGTCGTACTTATAATCCGCGCCAGCCTGGACCTCGTCCCCGATGAACACTTCCAGCGCAGCATGCTGTTCGAACTGCTCTATCGTCAAGTTCATAGCCGCGTTATTGAGCGTGAAACAGTTCTGGGAAGAGGTGGCGCATGACGCGTTGGCGATGTCAATCTGGAAGTCCATGCCGATGGTGACGTTCGTGGTGAACGTGCAGCCGACGCACGTCAGCTCGACCTGGGCGTCTGTGAGCTGGCTATGGGACCAATATCAGAAATCTACAGCTGAGGCTTGTTGGGCTGGGACATACCTGATAACTGATTCTGCGACGGTATCGTCCAGCGTTGTGTTTGGCGGGAACAATGGAAGGCGAGCATCGATGTCTGGGTTATATCCAAAGTTGAATGACTCGTCAAACCCATGCTCGTCGCGGCGAGACAAGCCGAGGACATCCCGGGCGGCCCAAGACCGAGCGCTGTTGTGGTCATACTTCACTCCAAAAGACTTGACGATATTGCGCATAAGTGCTGGCTCGACCACTAAGGTCAGACGCGACCTCAACGAGTCCGGAATGACCGCAGACGCGCTGTCAGGCTGTTAGCGAGTCTGAGTGAGCTAAGGGATAGATCAGCACGTACAACCAAATGCCATGCTCATCAATCGAATTGCAATCCGGATGAGCTGTAATCACAGATAAATCTTGCAGCGCAGTCCACTCCACCACAGCGAGCTCAAAAGCGTCCTCGTCCGCAAAATCAAGGGTGATAACGTCTTCCAGCTTGTCGAAGTACGCTTTGTGGCACGACAGACCGCTAAGAAGATAGTTGAAGTCGTCGACCAAGAGAATTGGCCTGTCATCATGGGCGAATAGGGTGACGATGGCGGATGGCGGATGATACGGTGCTGAAAGAACCGTCAACAGGGTGGGGAATAATATGCGCCAAGTGCTCACTCGCGGCGTAGTCAAGGACGACCACATCCTTGGGGACAATATCCCTTTTCCACAGCGAGCGTCGACCAAGTGAGACGGCTCTCTTGCTGGGGACGAGCTTGGACGGGAACGTCGCAAAGACGACGGTCACAAAGCCAGCAATTGCAATAAGATGTCCTGCGCGCATCCGAGTGAAGATGCCAGGTGAGAATCGAGTGGATGCTTTGGGGGGCTCTCTAGATATACCTTCAGATGGTCGTTATATTCTTGTCAGCTTGCGCCCAGCTGCTGCTCTCCTGCCGAAGGGCTCATTGAGTTTGATATCTTCCCGTTGCCTGAACAATGTGAACATGCTTCAGGTGCCTCGTATAGGACCTATCTGATGCGATCAGCGCGTCGCGGGAGAAGCTGCGTAGCGAGATAGCTACACCCGCCTCCGCTACCGACACGCCGCGGCACCCTTCAATCGTGTTATTGCGCTGTAAAGGTGGACATCATTGTTGACAGAAATCTCTAATACGCCGGGCAGCGTACGACTCTGCGTCGATGCAGTCAATGGATAAACAGAGCGTGTACGTTGAGGAACTAGCTCCCGTCGCTGCCGCCTACTCATGGACGACGAATAGAAACGAAGCTTCGTCGACGAATGAGACGTGCCGCCTGCGGCACGACCTTAGATGTTCGTGCTCGTATGTCGGAGGAGTGGCACCTTCGAAGAGATAAAAAGCCTACTGCCGTTGTCAATGCACCGCCCCGTCTCCCGTCTGTCAGCAAAGCGCTTCTTATGTCTTACAAAGCTCACCATACAGGGTACAGTGGGCCTTGTAAGGCACATGCGGGTCCATTTAATCGTTGATCAGCCGAACCAAGTTCCACAATCAAGACTCGGCCGCAGACAGTTGGCCTTCAATCAAAGGTTTGGTGATGCAGTTCCCGACGCATTTGACCCTCGCTGTTAGTGCGCGGCACACGTCATACCTGGCATGATAGCTATCCAATGTGACTAACAGGCACAAGTAGTGTGCTCGTGTTATGCCCCAGATCTGGACAGTAAAATAGGCCCGAAGGGATGTGTCCCGCAGAATATGCAAGCGCACAGTGCCGAGATAAACCACTGCTAACTGAGGCGCAGAGATCAGCGGCAGCAAATTACAGCGTTACGGGGAGAGCGGTGCTCACATCATGTGGAAGCACCACGCTCGGTTCACCGAGGGTTTTTCCGCAAATCCAAGCTCAGAATAACCTTGACCCTCGAGGAAGGCAAGAATCATAGACGGAATAGAGCCGCGAGCTATCTGGGTATCCCAGATAGCTCGTGTCTCTATTTCACTTCTTCTACGGGCAGAATAAGACGTGCCGCTGTAAACCGAAGATTCACCACTGTTTTCCGAATGCGCTCTGGTACACTGAGACTGAGATACAGGAGACTGACCGGCGAAAAACTTGGGTGTAGCTGCATCTTCTCCCCCCTTTTTTCCCTTTCTTTTTCTTTTTGACACTTATCACAAGATGGGTGCCTAGCCAGGTGGACGATCCGAGATTGAGCAAATCAAAAAAATGTGAGCTTACCTGTATGAGTACCGGTGGGCTGATGGCTGTGTCATGAAGCTCCCTCGGGCGGAGGGCGCGCGCCTAGACAAAATTGAATGCTCAGCCATCTCCGCTGCGTAAAAGATTCGGATACAAGGGTAGGGTATGCCTAATCTAAGCCATACTATGGTAATGTAAGGATAGCTGTCCTCAGAAAAGAGGGGTAATGAGGCACAGCAGGGTCGACTTACCATCCAGTAGAAGCTACACCGACGTGAACAACCTCACACCAGCTTTCAGCTAATGTTCATACCGGATCTCGGATGTTCTAGCCCAAATTAGGACTAGTCTACAGTCAGTGCAGAACTGCACTAGCAGGTGATGCGGATAGCTGAGAGAGGAGAGGGGTCCTGTCGGTTTTGAGGTCAGGATCTATGCTACCAGGGATTTGACAGATATTTCCAACCAGATAGGTATCTTCGAGATGTTCGCAACAGTCGACGATTAGCTAGAGGTTGTCTTTCTGACGTCAATAAACGCATGTATGTTCTGGTGCAGTGCAGGTACCGAACGAGGAGCGTTGCAACTTGCATGCTCACATCGGAGCGTGGGCAAAAATCGTCAAAGAATTCCCACGCATATGTCACGTGACTGGGCTGGTTTAAGCGTGCGTTTGTTTTTGAATACTTTACTTTGTCCTCCGACAGCCATGACATGTTGGTATTCCAGTCGCCCATCGCCTAAAAAGCCGCATATACAGATTTAATTTCAAAGTTGGGCGTGGACTTCACATTGTATCTCCTGGTCCCGCATGACTGCTGCTCCGAGATGGCTGACAATCTGCCAGGGAAATCCATCAATCGTGAGGCGACGTCTTGCCCGCCGCGGCATTGAGATGTCCTTCCTGGGTGCTTTAGCATGAACGCTGATTGCCTGTGAAGCAGCTGACGAGTCAGCCAACCAGCTCTAGTGACAGTAGCGTTCGAGCTCGATATAACCTTCTCACAAGCACCGGTTATATCTGACAAATGTTTCACTAAAGCCGAACACCATGCGGTGCCTATCCTTTGAAGTCGGCTTGATGCTTGATTCCGACCGGTAGCCTTTGAAACGTCAACTCAGCTGACAATGCTCCATGCGCTGGCACAAGTATATAGGCTTCCCTCGATGCGCCTGCTAGGCTCACCCTCACTGAGGGTTCAAATGATTCTGGGCTGATGATGATGCACCTAGCACAATGCTCACGGAAAGTTCAATCGCTGGATCCACCACCGCGTCGGTGAGTGGATGCCCAACGATCATGAAGACTCCGCAACAAATTTTGATTCGTCACTTGCCGTGTCTTGGGCCACCGCATGTCTTACACCTCGACCTCGTCAATGGACAGATTCGCTTGGATATCATCCAAGAGCTTGCCGACGCTATACATTACTTTATATGACACTACTTTTTGGCCGGGTGTCTGGGAAAATAAATATCTGCTGTTTTATCTTACTCTCGTGTTGACAGTCCAAAAGGTGCCGGGTGCACCGTCAATGTACAACAAGGATTGAGCACTCGCTGAGTGCAACCAAGATACCTGTGTCCAGCATCATTCAACGCATACTCTACAGGATCTTTCGCTCTGCGGCCTGCTATGAGGGCTGATAGCGGAGACCTCGACCGTATCTTTGTTAAACCTGATTCTAAGCTGGAATATTTTAGAGGTTGTTGAATATCCGACTTCTGACCTAGACAAGCGGGTGTCTTGACGAGGTTCAGGAGGTATGATGGTGGAAGACGCAGTGAACAAAGGGCCAAAATCGGTTGCGGTGTCCGATTTGGTGATTTTCACTACCGCGAACGCCTCGAAGAGGTGAGATACAGATGTTCCCGGTGATAGAAGCTGTTGCTGGTATGGAAGAATATGTCCTAAGAACTTGAAGGCCCCATGTTGTGAAAGACTTCGCGCAGGCGGGGGATTCACGAGTAATCAAGGATAAATTCCTAAAATAATACTACATGTTCTTATATAGGTTATCTACTTTCTAATCTGGTCAGACCAATAAAATGTACCTTAGGAAGCTGAGACTAAAAGGAAACATAACGGGGCGCAGAGCCGAGAGTGCTCTGCGCGGGTCATATCTAAAACGGGCATGACAGATCCATATTGGGCATGACGGCCTAAGCGCGTCATGTCGGTATCTCTGCCGGCGCGGCTGATGCGCATCCGGCGCCTCAGATACTACAACACCCCACGACACTTTGCGTGATGGCAGTCATTTTATATCATAAACTTTGAGTCTCCTGCTCGCATATGTTGCAAATGTCACAGTTTTTACTCCACATAGAATATACTCCATTGTACTTGTTGGCGTCAGTTCATGCCTCTGCGCTATTCTCGCACCGTCCCGCCCCATCCACTTCTGCGCGGTCAATCTCTTCGTCCGCGGGCTCGTCGTCATCCCAACCACTCTGCAGCGTCTCTCCAATATTACCCAGCCGATTTGTTGGCTTTCTGAACTGCACCGCACATTGATTTTGCTGTAGATTAGTAATATGTGTAGAGTAATTCAGCACCTCCAGGTCGACCGTTCGTAGGTTAATCATGAAGCGATGGATGAGCATCGGAGGCTGCGTGGCGCGTTGATGAGTGCCAAAGCAGCTGACGGAGATTACTGTAGTGGGCCCACCAGAGTCTCAATAAACGATGCTACGGGTGACCTAATCTTAGATACAGCCTTAGCCGTCAGCCCATGCACTCATGTTGGCCCGGGAGACCTACCGCAAAATTGTAAGTTAGCAGCTGAGCTATATTTACTGCTAACAAAGCTCTATATTTGTTGCCATCCATGAGTCACGCTCGACTGGTCGTCTTTGTTGTTTTACTCACATGAAATAGACAGTGCCTGCGTGTGCAGCCGGGCCTCAGCACTCAGCAGTAGTAGCGAATACAACTCTGCATGGATGACTACTGACCGTCACGCAGTAGACACGTCGTTAGCGACACCTGGACGTTGACACTGCGGGCACGCCTCCAATTTCCGAATGTCTTGATCCACGTCAGAACAAGCACAATTGTGTCGGCAAGGATGAGCGAACTGCGGGTGATGTATATCACTAAGCAGGTGCCATCAGTGTCTATAGAGTGTCATGATTTGTGGTTACGACACACGTCTGCACGGTGATAGATGAGTATCGTAGACCAGGAACAGTGATATGCGTGTATCTACATGTTATTTGCCTGCACAGAGAATGTGAACTTTGTGGCGCATGTCGTGCCGAAGATCGGATCCGCGACGGCAGTGTACTTCGACATTGTCGCGGCGACCTGCACAGAAGTGTCAACTAGGAACGTATACGGGTATGAGCAGAGGCGACACCCACCAGGTTCGTTATGAACGGTACCATACTCAGCACGAACACTACTAGTGACCAGATGTGGCTCCTATTCCAGATCGCGAAGACGCGCAGGGCAGAAAATACTGGTGCGTGTAAGTTAGCAGGTTGGCTGGACTCGAGCAAACTATGTGAGGCGTACATGCGGTCTGAGCGTAGCCAATCAAGAAGAACACGGGGACCAGGATTGTAAGCGGTATGCAGCTGTGTGTCGGGTTTCAGTGAGCAGATTGTATGTGTAAGAGTTTCCAAACAAACTGTACTTACTTCTGTCAGAAGCATTATTTGGAACTGCTGTCATTAAACAATATTCGAGGCTTACATTGGGAGTTGTTGGCGCGAGTTCGAATATCACCGTGAGGAGCATGCACCATCTTACTGAGCCAAGTAGCACGGCAGATACGGTGACAGGTCTCTTCCACACCATGTCAATTTCATTGGAGATGGTAATCAAAAACTCGTAGACAACGAGGGCTGAGGAAGAGGCGCTGTGAGCCGTGGAATGGGAGGCAAAAAATGTACTCGCATGAGACAGCTCCCAGGATATAGTCCGTTACGAGGCTACCAATGCAGAGCGAATGCATGAGTATCGCGTCGTCAAGTGCGAACGGATTTTATGCTTACTACTGGGAGTAGATTTGAGAAATGGTCTGGTTTGACTGCTCTGACATTGCGAACATGAGGGTGTGCGGCGGAGTTGCATCTAGCACAGACTATCGCTCACTCAGTTTATAAGTGACTTGTATCAATATATGCTTCATGCCTATCAGACAGCACCCTGGCTCAGCGTCCTAGGAAAAGAATGAACGTCAGTAATGATCATCAATGTCTGCAGCCGGACAGTCCGCATCGAATAGAAGAGACAAGTAGGACAATCGATATCCAGCGAAGTTGATGTAGAAACGATCCAAGTATTCCGAGAACTGTGCACGGTTGATTGGGGCGCAGAATATCCTTTTGGGACGGCCACCATAAGAGTAGCGTACGAGTGAGCGTTACTTACAGTGCACATACCTGACCCAAGCTTGACTCAGACACAGTGGGCTCACACCCATACAAGGGCAGACCAAACTATAGCTGTGGGAAGATATCTTTCATACACCATCATGCACGATTATCACCAGCGGCGTTTCATTGGATCTAAGGGCTTCTGGGATGGCGAGACAGCCTATAGACGCAGACAGAAGGTGGTTCTACTGTGAGCAAGGGCTATGCCGAAGAAGGCTAGAGCTTGGAACGAACCTCTCTGAAATGAAGGTACAGTGAAAGGCAGTTCATATGTTCGAGATTAGAAGGAGATGGAATCTTCTGTTCATGTTTCTGGCCCATGCTATCTGCTTCGCCTCTATCTTCTGGAGTGCCCAGTTCCAGCATGCATCACTTCGGAAGATGGAAAAACATGATAGCGCTGCAATACATTGCGTGTCATATGGGGCTTTCGCACCTATTACTCAGCTCGAGACCATTCATTCGCCAAATCCGTATAAGAATGAGTGTACTGTAGAGGTTTATATGTGCCGAAAGAACGTGAGGGCAATGTGAAGTTCATTCCGACGTGAAAGAGCGAGTCCAACTCATGTCAAACGGTTACATAATTGCAATGACCTCATACTAATCCGAAGCGTCGGCCAATCCGGATGTTTGGTCCGCGTGGAAGTCGGCTGTATGCCGACAGCACCAGTCAAGTGATAGAACGGGAATCAGCTTCGTCGTTGTTGTATGAGCTCGGAAATATAATATACATGATTCACGACGACCGCCTTTTCCGGACATTGCTTGTATCCGAATTTCTTGACCTGCACCGCCTCGGTGAGCTCGCCCGATCGCGTGTCGCATCGCGACTGGCGCAAGGTCATTCGACGGTCCTCTGCCTACGTCTCTTCCGTTGGCTACGGCTACACTTTGTCAACCCACAAGGCTGACAGCTTTTTCAACGGGTCCACTGTTCTTATCCCGGCGTCCATGGAGGAGCTGCCTGGGGTCGAGCTTCTGCAGCTTTTCCAAGACCATCTTTCTAGCCGCGATGAGCTCTTTCCGCTGGACCCTGCCTTGTGGCTCACATTCAAGGGTTGAACGTTGAGCCTCCGACGCGCTCTTGGTTTCTGGCGCGTCTGCACGCTGTGGTTACGTCGCTGGACATCTCGGGCCACTCTTTGCGCGCGGGTGGTGCCATGTTCTATGTGGCGTGTGGCTGGCCGGATGATCGCATTGAGGCGCTTGGCCGCTGGTCTTCCGAGGCTTTTCGCATCTACATCTGGGAGCATCCTGTTACTGTACTGCTCCATACGCTTCTTTTCGCCCGTCGTCCATCCGGCACGCGTGAACACCCTTCTTCTCTCTCTCACTACCTGCGCTGCCCTCCTTTCTACACTTCATAAGTGTTTTACCGGCGGTCATTCATGCAGCGCATGTACATGGAACGCACCGATCGGTTGTAGAATAAAATTAGTCGCCGAGATCTCTCGGCGGCGGTTCCGGCCTATCTCACGCTGTCCCCTCGTTCTCGCAAGAGTCCTAGCACGAAGATGGTTTGATTCGACGCGGAATAGGATTTATGTCGAGTATTCTGTTTGCTCACTTTGGGCGTGCGCTCTTTCTGACCTACCGAAAGCGATTATACGGCATCTCCCGGGATCATTCGTATAACGTGATCTGTATTTCCATGTTGGGTTATCTGTGCCTCGACCATGATGCCTGACATAATGTTTCCGCCTCCGTTGCCTAGAATGTCGGTCTCAAGGTCTTGAGCTTAAGCCTCAATATCAATATTCAATAACGTTCAACGTCAACCCTCATCTTCCCCTCCGAGCATCAACCTCGCCTGTTGACCTGGCTTCGAAGCGCGCTTCTCTCAATTTTGGCTGAATGATCCGGAGTTTAGTACTGCGCCTCCACAGACGACTGTTCCTTTTCAGCAGCAGGGACTCACGCTTACCGCGGCCTGCAGGGCGCTTTCTGTATTTGAACTGCTGCAGTATCTATAACATCTAGAACCTTTCTCTCAGGACGGTGATTACGCGTGAGGCGTGCCGCATGACAACAAAAAGCGCCTAGCAAGCCAATCTGTTCCACAATTGAACCATCCACCATGCACTTTCAGGTAAACGTTTTCCGTCCAATCGCCTCTGCGGTCAGCAGACGATTCTGCGGTTCCTTCTGGGACGTAATCTTGTTCAAAGCCACTTTTGCCGACCAATCCTAGTCATCGATGCCGGTGTTCGTCCTCTTGTTCTGGTGCTGTGTTCCGCCAGCGAACCTTCGGAATGAGTTGACGTCGCTTCTGTTCTCGCAGGCATATTGGCCGCCTTAGATGCCGCTCCCACGCTCCTTTGCATTTGCCCACATCACGGTGATACTTACTGGCAAAGCGTAATGGTAGTGAGCCCTCTTCTCTTGTACGCATTGACAAAAGCCCATAGTCTTTAGCGCAGCGCTAATGGTTATTCCGACCGGGAGGTCAACCACAATAAAGATAGCCGCCCGCCTAGCAAACACGACGTTCTTGTACACTGGCTGGACAGAAACATCGCGCATGCAGAGCATCCCGATCATGCTCATCAGGATTTCCATCCCGTTATCCAAGAGTTCCAGCGCTTCATTGAGGGCGACCCAGTCATCTACATGGGATTTCACCAGATGTTCGAACAGCTTCCGAATAGACCGCCCTATGATAGAGATCCCACAGGAAGATCTCAGGTAAGCCATAATTTTTTGGCTTGGTTTTGTGTAGTAGAAGATTGATGTCTGCGGTAGATCGGTGACTATAAGCTCATGCTGAAACTGTTCAACCGTATCGTTGTCACCGCTCCTCCCTATGAAGACCACCTTTATGTTGGGTTCCCTATCAACGCCATCTTCAACTGGCCCATGGGAACGCCAGCTGGGCTTGCTATGTTCACCAACCCAAGGGTGAACCAGATGCTCAGCAAGATATTCGATGTCTGGTCCGCCTTCCTTACATCTCCCGACTCCCGTTACGTCCTCACCACCGAGGACGACGGTTGGTTTGGACCCAGGGCGAGTGAGAAGATGCCGAACTTTGCGGAGACGTACGCCTGCGACCCGAGCAAGGACTATTACGGCTTCACATCCTGGGACGATTTTTTCACTCGAGTTTTCCGCCCGGGCGTGCGTCCGGTAGCGTTCCCCGACGACCACTCCATCATTACTAACGCCTGCGAGTCGGAGCCGTACCGGATTGCGAAGAACGTGAAGGCGTCCGACAAGTTCTGGCTCAAGGGCTCGCCATACTCGCTCGAACACATGCTCAACGGCGACCCCTTCGTCAGCGAGTTCGCGGGCGGGACGGTCTACCAAGCGTTCCTGAGTGCGACGAGCTACCACCGGTGGCACAGCCCCGTCAGCGGCACTGTCGTTCGCGTGGCCATCGTTCCTGGTAGCTATTACGCCTCTTCACCCGCTTGGGTCCTCCCGAACGACCCCGATCCCGTCGCGCAAATGCAGTCGCAGGGGTTCATCACGTGTGTGGCCTGCCGCGCAATCGTGTACATCCAGGCGGATAATCCGAGCATTGGCCTGATGTGCTTCATGGCCGTGGGAATGGCGGAGGTGTCGACGTGCGAGGTCACCGTGAAGGATGGAGACAGACTGAAGAAAGGCGACCAGCTGGGGATGTTCCACTTTGGAGGGTCAACTCATTGCCTGATTTTCCGACCGGAGACGAAGGTAACGTTCTTGAAGGATTATCCTCCGGATTCCATCGTTCCCCTGAATGCCGCAATCGCTACAGTTAACATGTGAAGTAAATTGCGTCGACAATTAGTGCTTAGTACATTTAGCTGAAGGATTACTGTACTTTTACGACCGTACCGGATGTCACACGTCACACCGCTTTTCCGCGGACACCGCCAGTAATATTCTCTCGATTTATGGCGATTTTGGCGAGTTGTCGGAAAAACTCATTTTGGGCACTTTCATCCGGTATGGTCGTAAAAGTACAGTAATCATCTAGTGCGTTTTCGCGATACTAGTACTATACTTATTTGCCAAAAGTGGCCCTTCGCCGCCGTTTTCTGAGGTCGTGTGTCTCTCAGCAATACCGTATGACGTCGCGGTGGCGCCGGGATGGCTATGGCGCACCGGGGACTGCCGAAGGTGACGCTCATTACCGCAGCTCACTCAACTTCGACCTCTAGAACCACGTCGCCGGCCATGCATCGCTGCTTGCTTGTCTCAGAAATACTGAACATTATAATGGGCCACTTGTAACCACTCCATATGGCTTCGCTCACTCTAGTGCCAAGTATCTGTATCTAACACCTGTCGACCCCTAGTCTCCTGTAACATGTCAATTATTCGTGAGTGAGAGGAACAGCACTTGGCAGATCACGTGATTAGACAAATATGGCCAAACAAAGCTCGAGACCCGTCGCCTTGCCACCTCGCCTTTCCCTGTCAACTCGGCAAAAACCACGACACCGTTGCATCTTCTAGCTCCTATACTTACGTCCCAGATGCGCATTCATTAATATTCATCCTCCAACTTTTGCGCGAAAGCAGCTCGCCACAGTTCTCTCAGTCGCTTCAGGCCGACTACTCTGGATGCGCTGGGATTTCTGGTAGTCTGCTGTCAGTTCCGCCTTTTGTCGCTTCTGGTCAGTCTACCTGGGGCTCTTCGCGACTCCTGCACCCTACCACTGGGACCGAAAATCTTCTCTTTGATTACTGTGCCAAGCACTGCCAGTATGGAGCCTACCAGATTGCGACAGACCGGTGCGCTAATATTATCATACAGCATGTCCAAATTTCGTCAGTCTCACTTTGTTTTCGGACAGTCAACGGCAACGTTCGCTGGCACAGATGCTTAGCGCGGAGACTGGCACGTTTACGTACGGCTCTTGGCCAAGCGATGTGGTGCAGAAGGAGCTTCTGCTCTGTCTGAAGACCCCAAGTCAAGGAGTACGTTGAAAAGGCGAAATGAGGTATATGGCACTGTTCTCGGTAATCCAGGCGGTCTCGGGCTTGGCTCTTTGGTCCCTGGACCCAGTGTCCCACTGAAGGAAATAGCGAGCCTACTTGCGCTTAGTGGATCGATTAGGAAGGACAAGATGCATCTCTGTATGTCATTCCTCACTTATTTGAGCTGACGTCCATGAGTAACTTCTGGCCTCGGGGTTGGCTCACCTAGCCTTGAGAAGCGCGAGGTGTTCTCTTCCATGCTCAGCTCCCCGATCCTTATGTCTCCGCCTCCGATGATGCTCAGTTCTCCGGCTGTTGGCAAATTCAAGAGCTGACTCTTAGACCTCTTTCGCTGGAAAGTGCAGTCGTACGTGCTATATTCGACCGACGTCGTCGTGACAAGCCGGAGCAAGGCCTGGTAACTGCTCCAGGGGCTCAGTATCTCGTTGCTCGAGGACTACCAGCGGCGCGCTCTCAAGTGCCGTGCGGATGACGTGTACGGGCACGGAAGCCTGGCGCAGAAACCGACGCGTCTCCGCGTCGAGGTGCACAGGGTGTGATGGCAACGCTGTGGCTTGCGCACCAGATGATCCGATATCGCCGCAGATGTCGGCGGGACGCAGTTGGCCGCAGCTCGAACGACCGCACAGGTACGACACGGTGATTACGCTCGTGCTCTGGAAGGGCTCAGTTGCGGCGTCTAGGGCATATGAGAAGCTCGATGCACTGCAGAGCACGGGAACGTCGGTGGGGGTGGGACGCCGAACATCGATCGGCGGCTATGGGGTGAGAGGTTTAGGCTGCGTCTCGGGACAACCAGTATATTGAATATTAGCTCAATATCAAGAACACTTTGCGAATACCGCTACATATGATTCGTTCCGACCCTGCCGGATCCTTCAGTGATGCCTTGCGTGTGGCGTCGCGAATAAATGCGTCAGTGTGTATGTCATTTCCTCTTGGTGTAATTCAGAAACATCCACAAGAGCACATATCATCGCAGGTAGGAGCTTATATCATCGATAGATCTTGTAGTCAGCGATTAGTTGATGTGCCCACAGGCGATCATCTTGGCGGCAGAAAGACCAATCCCGTGGCGCGCACCATGCAGTTCTTCGGACCACCTGGCCTACAGCCTGCTGGGAGATGGATCGCAACTGCATGTTCACTAACGTGTTCGTTGTTTGCTGTGGCGAACTAAAGCTAGTCAAAGACACTGAACAGGTCTTTTTCCTCAGCTGATGTCGGTGCTCAAGGCTCTGTTGATGCTCCCGACAGGTCATTTAAAATAACATCAATGCAGTTGTCATGGCGCTTTGTGAATCTTATCATCCCTTGTCTCATTCTACGATATCTCATGTGAGATATTATGTTTCCTGCGATCCTCTTCGAGCGATTCGCTCATTATCATAATGACAACTGCCTGTTCGTGCGGTGCGGCTGCTCCTTGAAAGAGAGAACGCTTCTCGTACAATTTCTGTGAGCAGCTCGTAGCCATGGAGTAACATCAATCTCTGTTCAAAACCACACAGAACACCCGAATGCTGGTGATATGCGCGATTAGACCGACTCATATATAGCTTCGGACGGGTGCCACTGAACGTAAGGCATCCCGGAGCTTCTTCCCAGACTGTTACACTTGCATTCAAAGCCCCCGGCACGATGTCCTCTGACTCGGTATTCGAAGCCTCACAGCTGTGCGTATCCTGCCGTAAACTATGTGCGTCAACTGACATGACGTTTTAGTTTCATTGTTAAGTATATGCTGTTTGCGACCCCAGGTGAAGTGCGGCACTGTCGGAAGATTCTGAATGTTCACACCGGAGAGTACAGCCTTGATGATATACGATCACTTGATCACGCTCAACCAAGAAGTCCGCACTGTGTGGCAACAGAAGTTCTCCCCTGTTTCTCTACTCATTATATCTACCCGATGGGTACTCCTTTAAGTTTGTGGGCAGTCATCACCTTACTTCCAAACAAACTACTCGTAAGTCACTATTTTTTCATGCGGCCACATCTGACATTAATGTTTCACACAGGTATGTATCACATATTCCGACCTGAAAAGCGCTGACGGCAGAATTCAGTGCAGCTGCAAAGCCGCTTTTGTGATAAGCGTAGTCCTCGAGCTTGTAGCGCTCGTGCAGACTGCCAGTAAGTACAATGCATCACAGCCATCTCGTGTGCAACTGACCGTTTCAAGTCTTCTCCGCACTGCGTGTGTGTGCAATATGGAATCAAAACTACGTCTTGTCCACAATTGTGCTAATATTAAGTCTCCCGCCTGTAATTACGAACGCCGTAAGTGTCTGAGCTCTTTGCAGAGCCCCAAACTGTCGTACTTAATGCTGATCACCCTTCAAGTATTCGTTGAGCCGTGAATCTATAGAGTATATTCCTTTCCAAATTAGTGTTTGTATCGGAGTCTACAGCCTTCCTAGTGATGCATACGATACCATGTAAGTCTACTGCCTTGCCCTTTTCCAGTGTACGCCTCAGTCTGAATTTATCAGCTGTACGTTTCTACTGCATAACCTGTCAATTCAGCCACATTTAATTGCCGCTGTGCCACAGTAATCCTCACCACCTGCGTTCCAATGATTTTTGCAGACTTGCTCGTCGTAGTCATGACATGGATGAAGACTTACCGCCAGTACAGAGAAGCAAGGTCGTTGGGTATCAAGTCTCCGCTTGCCATACGTCTCATCCATGATGGTAAGGCCTTCTCTTTGTATCAGCAGCGAACTTGATCCCTATTAATTGGTTCTCTTAGGCACGGTCTACTTCCTGTAAGTCTCAGCCATTAAACGCCTCGTTATGCCTCCGTCGTTCAACCTATAGCCACCGGCAGTATTCTACTAGTCCTGAATATCTCTCAGATTGTGTCTTTCTTCTTTGTAAGTGGTCCACCTCTTAGCACCACTGGGTATACTGACCACCTAAAGGCTGACGTAAGCATTGTAAACTCATTTGCAAACGCAATGGTAAGTCTGCCGCCAAAACTTCTTGACCATCTGATATCCCAACGTCGTCAAGTCGCCGATTCTGGTCTGCCGCTTTATGATGAACCTACGGCTAGTTAACCGGGGCGGACCCACTACTTCCGAAGCCAGCTCGTCCCAGCAGCTGGCTTCGCTGCGCATGCCGACATTCAACGACGGCACAGCGCCGAGTTTCATGACCAACATGGGCGAGCCCCTGTATTACGACCAGAACGACATGGGAGACGACGACGTACAAGACAGCAACGAGTAGATTGTATCCCCTGCCACACGTCTCGTCAAATATTTAATGATTGTACGGCGGGACTATCAAAAATTTGATGGTGTAGGGCATTGTTGGCGCGGGCTTCGATCTCTGGGCATATTTTTGTATTCGACTTGACTCCGTTTAATTTATGTAGAAGTGGACGGTGTGTAAGCCTGAGCGCTATCAGCACAAACGGCATGCGCTGAAAGCACTGAGGGCCTTGATTAAGCTAATCAGTCCCCTCTCCGTAACATAGTAGTCATGGTGTAGAAAGTTAGTAAGTGAACAAATCAGTGATTTGCACCCAGAGTCGGCTTCTTCCGCATAATCATTTCCACACTGGCGCCACAAAATTGGCTCCACAAGCTAGCCGCAAGGCTTCGGAGTAAACAATGCAAAGGACGGCATCACACGCTCTACCCTGAGAATCTGGCCCACATACAAGCTTTTCTCGGAACAACACTTGACAGAAAACAAGCACCGAACCTTTTCCTTACATCGGACAGAATGCGTCCTCGATGCAACGACGCTGTTTTCCTAACTATATAAAAATCTATGGTACTTGGTCTATAGGTAAATTGTCCTCGTATAAACTAGACGGCCACTAATCACTTCCGTGGAACACGAATGGCCACGAGCAAAACGCTTGTAACCTGTGCGGTGACGAATCAGAACAAGCACATGACAGCTAGAGACTTAAGACGACGCACCATAACAACGACGCCCGAGATCCATAACGCCTTCCCAAACGGCGACGGCTGGAAGCGGAAGATGAGCGCGAACCAGACGCCGCCGAGGTTGCCGAGGGCGCCGACGATGCCGGTCATGAGGCCGTTGCTGCTCGGGTTGCAGTGCGGGACGAGCGAGAAGTTCGCGCCGTTGCCCATCTGGTCGACGATCGCCGTGATGACCATGAGCACGATGACGACGGCGAGCGACGCGTCGTGCCGGTCGATGTACAGGCCCCACGCGAGCGACATGGCGCCCTGCAGCACGCCGAGGGCGAGCACGAGGTACTTCTTTCCCGGCACGCCGTAGTACCGGTACACGACGTCGCCGAGGTAGCCGCCCAGGGGCCGGGAGAAGACGTTGAGCAGACCGAATATACTGGCGAGCTACAGAGAAGGCCCATGTTCAGCCCTGCAGAAGACGTTCAACGAGGAGTGGTACTCACGTAGCCGCACCGTGTCTGGCCAAAACCTTTCGTCTCGTTGTACAGACCAAAGTAGACGTTCGAGAGGTTAGCGTCGATAGCGAGCTCGTACCCGAAGGAGCCTATGTACGCCAGTCCCGGGAGCCAAGTGAGTGGGTTCAGGAGAATGTCCATCGTAACCTTCCAAGACAGAGGCACGCTATCATGCCGAATAGAGGGCGGGCCTACGATGGTGGTCAGCATCAAATTTTGATAATTGCTTTGCGTCGATGCGCAACATACCTGAGGGCAGGGCGTCCGCAACATCCACTTTCACAGCGCCCTTCTTCTCATCAACCTTTTCGGTATCTGGCCTTTCATCCTTGAGTTTAGGCTTTTCCCGGCTAGTCTCGATATCATCGCTGACACGAGGCGTGCCGTCTGTGATCTCGGCGCTGGGAATCGATACGTTCATCTTGTGGCGGTCGGACCACTTGCCGTTGGGGTGGTCGGAGCCGACGAGCAGGGTGAGGATGGCGACGGTGATCAAGATGGGCACGGGTACGATAGCAAAGGCAGCTGCAGACTACGATAAGTGACGCGCTGATATTCCTTCATGAGCGGACATACCTCTCCATGCCGAATGGGGGCTGAGGCCGTCGCTGAGCAAGCGGTCGTAGAGGGCAGCCATGATGATGAAGGTGAAGCCGCCGCCCGAGTTGCCCCAGCCGGCGACCAGTGCGTTGGCGCGTCCGACAACGGACGTGTCGTAGAACGCCGTGGTCCAGGCTTGGCAGGGCACAAAGGTCCCACCGAGAATGCCTGTCGCGGCGAGATAAGAGCCGTGAGCACTGCAGGGTCCCAGGAGCGCACGCACCAATGAAGAATCGGATGACGTAGAGACCTTGCGCACTCGATACGGTGCCTGCGAGGCCGGAGGGAATGGCACCGACGATAAGCAGTCCGGCCATCACCTTACGGGGACCAAAGCCTGCAACGCGCCGGATAGCGGTCAGATTCCGCGCGGCAGCGTAGGAGCGTGAGAGAAGGGACGTACGATCAACGAGGGGGCCGACAATAGCGCGCACGACGAGAGTAGAGCACAGGGAGACGATGTTTGAATTCCCTGTAAGTACGGTGTCAGCGTAGTGGAGCGGCCCCAAATCTGGCATCCATACCGATTTGCTGCTGGGTGAGCTTGAGGTCGGTCTTCACCGCATCTGGGGTGAGCGGCGAGAACGCAAACCAGGAAAGGCTGCGGGGAAACCGTGGTCAGAGATAAGAATGCCTATCTCGCCGTACACCAGGACTCACAATGCCACCCAGAAACCGAGCCAGGAACTACATCAAAGCTGTGTCAGAGATCTGTGCGAGAGAAGCAGGGCGGTAATTAGCATTGTCAGTGACAACGATAAAGTCTCAAAGACTCTCTCTAGGTTTGCTGAGCCCTCTGTCGAATACTGCTAGGCTGGGCTTGGCCGTGGTCGAAAATTATCGTCCCTTGATACCGCGGCTTGCTGCGGCCGACCATCGCAGCCAAATTTTCGCCCTACAGATACCCTTATCTCTGCATACAAATCCAGACCGCCATATCGCGGTGAATAGTGGCTGTCGAGGTCAAAACGGCACAGCACGGGCCTTATCTCGCTGCCGCCCTAAACATGGGTCGAAACTCCACCGTTATCGCAAGGCCCCCGACGACTTCCATAGCGGGGGGTTACATATGCCGGGCATATCGTCAATTCAACGCTTCGATTCGGTTGCCTTCGTCTTCGTTAGTTCTCTGAGCGACGCTTCTGCAGCATGGTGTACTCCCCGTTCGTGCGCAACCAGCGGTCCTCAACTGTGCCGGCAGAGAAAGCAGATGCATTCGACATCGATGCTGCTGCCCATGTCGGCCAGCCCGAGAAGCTCTCGCTTTGGGAGCGGTTGACAACCGTGAGGATCAACCCGGCGAACAACAAGTGCACGACGCTCCCCATCCTCAAGCTCAACAACCCTTATTCCATCAACTTCCATCTGTAATTCTGTCTCATACTTTCTGAGCGCGAGACTAGCAGCTGTGCTGGGTCGGATAGCCTGCACCCGGCCAGTACTCACGCACTCACGCATAGCAACGGGGTCTATGGCCTGGCGGCAAACCAAATTTGCCTTTTTCGTGATTTGCGTTCTCAGCTCCGACACTGACTCAGCGTGACGTGACAACTGATAACGGACAATCTCCGATCAAATTCGTTCCGCCACAATTGTGGGTCAGACCATATCTGGGATCCCGTTGCGGTCCCTTGTTTCAGACGCGTCTGCGTCCACCTTATCTCGCTCTTCTTATCCAGCCAATGAACTTGTTGAAGCCTCTCGGATCTGTGTTAGTCAGTGCTCCGGGGGCCCGGCCTCTCCAACGCAAAGAAGGACACAGCGCGGGAGCACCTCTTATCTGTGCCATAAGCAATGTTTCTTGTGACTCAGGTGTGCCTAGAAAATAGTACCATACATGGAGCTAACATGGTGACTGTGGATTTTTTTAACGGCCGAAGGAGCCAGTGCGCACGACCCTCGGGCCCAGGCTGTTTTACCCGTCGGTCAATATTCCGAATTGCTCAAACACGCTAAAGCCACCATTGAGCCCAGCATTCAGCAAGACTTTGGCTTCAGTTGCTATCTCTTCCCTCTCGCTTGACACACCATGTCCCCTGCGTCCTCGATATCGCGCAGCTCCTCGGTAGAGAGCGGACTCTCCGGCAGCTATGCTTCAAGTCCCCGTTCCGATGCCTCAGATACGCCAGACTCGTCCTTGCGTTCCTCTCCGTCTCCCCCTTTGAAAGCACTGTACACCCTTCCCAGCCCGTTCTTCCCAGCGTCGCTGGAAGCAGAGGACTCCAACCGACAATGCCCGCAGCTGCCTTCCATCTTTCCTGCACTACCGGCGAATAATACTCCGCGTGTTACCGCTACAGCCGTAAGTACCGCCTTCGTTTCTTTGGCGACACGGCTAACAGTCGTCGTCATCAGGATGCGCAAACTCCCGACAACTGGCTGCCGCGCGACCCCACGCTCATACGTCTCACAGGAAAGCACCCCTTCAACTCTGAGGGCTACCTAACACCTCTTTTTGATGCGGTGAGCTTCGATTCCCGGCTATCTTTGGTGCATGTGCTGCGGCCAGGGTGATAGCCCCCGGCATCACTGCGCTATCGCTGCCTTCCGTCAAATTGCCCCGCGTCTCTCCCCACAAGGCCAGCGGTGTGCTCACGTTCTCCCCCCGACAGGGCTTCATCACGCCTGCGCACCTCCATGTCGTGCGCAACCATGGCGCGGTGCCGAAGATATCGCCCGACCAGGCGTACGCGGACTGGAAGATACGCGTCCACGGGCTCGTGCAGGAGGAGCTCGAGTTCTCGATCGGCGAGCTCGCGGAGAGGTTCCAAGTCGTGACGCTGCCCGTGACGATCTGCTGCGCGGGAAACAGACGCAAGGAGCAGAACGTCGTCCGGAAGAGCCTGGGCTTCAACTGGGGCGCCGGTGGCGGTGCGCACGTCGTTTTTTCTCGCGCGTGTGGACATCTTTGGGTTGACGGCTCGTGCTAGTGTCGACCGCGCTCTGGACGGGTGTCTACCTCGCCGACGTCCTGGATTACGTCAGGCCCATACGTCCGCGGGCGAAGCACGTCATCTTTGAAGGCGCCGACGACCTGCCCAAGGGCCCGTACGGAACTTCGCAGAAGCTGTCGTGGGCGGCGGACAGGGAAAAGGGCATGTTGATAGGTGCGTCTGGCGATCATACTCGGCATCTCACTTCAGCGAGGCCTCTCCCTATCTACGAGCTCTAAAGCTATTTGCCGACTTCCATGTTCGGCATGATGACGAACGGGTGCTGATGTGACCTTCGGCAGCGTGGGCGATGAACGGTCTGGCGCTGGAACCTGACCATGGTTTCCCCGTGCGCGTGGTCATGCCCGGACAGATTGGTGGGCGGATGGTGAAGTGGTTGAAGCGGATTGAGATCTCGGAGACAGAGAGCAATCACTACGTAAGCTATTATTTGCGCTCTCGTGATATCGCAGCTAACTTAGTTTCTTTAGCTTCATTACTGGGGTTCGTCGCATCTGTGCTCTATTAGTGTTCCGTAAATTAATCTTCTTTTCCAGATAACAAGGTCCTGCCCATGCAGTACACTCCCGAGCAGGCAAAGGACACGCCAGAGATCTGGTACGACCCAAAGTACGCTCTTCGCCTCGAGACTTTGCAGCACGTGTCTCACATATCCAACCCAGATATACCATCACGGAGCTGAACGTCAACAGCGCCATCGCCAAACCGGCCCACGCCGAGGTCCTCGACGTGTCCAACGAGGACATGGCCTCGAACGCAAAGACGTACGACATCCAAGGCTACGCCTACGCGGGCGGCGGGCGGCGCATCAACCGCGTCGAGATCTCCCTGGACCACGGCAAGACCTGGACGCTCGCCGACGTGTACGTGTCCCTGCCTTGCCCCTTTTTCTCCGCGCGCGCGCTTTCCGTCTGATGCCCGCCCGCGCAGAGACTACCCCGAGGACCACTTCCGCGCGGCGGCGTTCGAGCATCCGGTGTACGGCCTCGTGGACCTGACGGCGCGGGACACGTGCTTCTGTTGGTGCTTCTGGACGCTGCGCGTGCCGCTCGCCGCGCTCGCGCGCGCGGACGTCGTCGCGCTGCGGGCCATGGACGAGGGCATGAACACGCAGCCGCGCGACATGTACCTCAACGCGACGAGCATGCTCAACAACTGGTGGTTCCGCGTCGCGGTGCGGAAGAGCGCCGCTGCGGACGGCGTGCGCCTCACGTTTGAGCACCCCGCCGTCGTCGGGCAGACGATGGAGGGGTGGATGGACCGGATGAAGGCCGAGGGAAGGGACGTGCTCAACCCCGTTTTCTCGGACGCGCCGCAGGACCAGGCGGAGAGTGCTGCGAAGCCGAGCGAGGAGAAGAAGGAGGTGGTCATGACGAAACCGGGCGTCAATCGGAAGATCACTGCCGAGGAGCTCAAAGCACAGGACAAGCAGAAGCCATGGGTATGGTTTTCGCCTTTTTTTTTCTTTTCCTTTCGCAGGATGCTGATATTGCTGCAGTTTGTTGTGAACGGTGAAGTCTACGATGCCACCGAGTATCTCCAGGATCATCCTGGAGGCGCAGACTCTATCCTTCTGGTAGCCGGCGATGATGCCACGGAAGATTTCATGGCTATACATTCTATCGATGCCAAGCAGAAGCTCGCAGAGGTATGTGCTAACGATATCTCGAGATGTCGCATCTGATTTGACTGTCCGTTAGTATCACATCGGTACTCTCGTGGGTTCATTATCCGAACCAGCAACGGTAACCTCGTCGAGCAGCGACCTCAATGCGCCTTTCCTGGATCCAAAGACCTGGAAGGTCGTCACACTCACGAGCATCGAGCGCGTGAATCATGACTCCCTCATCTACCGCTTTGCTCTGCCACACTCGGACCAGCCTCTTGGTCTACCAACTGGCCAACACGTCTTTGTCAGGCTCAAGAGGAAGGACACAGGTGATATGGTGCAGCGAGCCTACACCCCTGTGTCGCCGGAAAACGCGAGAGGGTCTATCGACTTTTTGATCAAGTATGTACTCGTGTACTCCCGCTCCGTGTTCTAGCTGATGGACATGATCCCAGGTTGTACCTGCCCACGGGCGAGTACCCTACTGGCGGAAAGATGACAGTCGGCTTCCATCAGCTTGAGGTCGGCGATACGCTCGAGCTCAAGGGCCCACTGGGCTCGTTCATCTGGCAAGGGAGCGGTACGGCATTGTGGAGAGGGGTACCACGCGAGGTCTCAGAGATCGGTCTCGTTTGTGGAGGCAGCGGTACGTGAACAACCTCTCTGCCACAGATGGCACGCTCACCAGCTCTGCCCGTGTTTAGGCATCACACCCATCTTGCAGGTGCTCCGCAGCGTGCTACATGACTCGGCGGACACGGTGACGCGGCTCTGGCTGATCTCGGCGAACAAGACAGTGGATGACATCCTCTGCCGTGCGGAGCTCGACAGCCTTTTTGCGGCGCACGGCGCCTCGGGGCGCTTCAGTGTGCACTACACCCTCAGCACGAGCACGCCGGCGGAGTGGACGTACGGCACTGGGCGCGTCACGGAGGACATGTTGCGCGTGCACCTTCCTGCGGCCGGCGCGGGAAAATTGGTGCTGGCCTGTGGTCCGTCGAACATGATCGAAGGTGCGCTCAAGAGCGGGCTGCAGAAATGCGGGTGGGATGTGCAGACGCAGTTGGTCGTATTCTGAGTTGCCGCTCGCAGGGATTATTAATATTTACCTAGTAGTGAGAGGAATGTACTTGTACTGGACTTGGTTCCAACACGCCGTGATTGCTGAGTCCAGCCGGTGCTCGACGGTGTCTTTCCCTGGTCGTGTGCGGTCTATCGGAGTAACCCGTAACCTAATATTAGGTTTTGTGACCGTGACAACGGTGAAGAAGCCATTTGACGCCCGAAACGCGAAACACCGCGTCCCGCGCACTTATCTTTCCGTGAGACGCGATAAAATGGCAGGCTGTGATAGGCGGATAGGATACCGACAGCCGTGTCTTCGATCCATAGCATATGGATATCCCGCAGCCTTTCGACACCCGGAAATTGGGACGCGATATCGCACACCCGGCCATGGACGGATGCCCTGAGAGAGTACCCGAGCGAAGCAGTCTGACGAGCGCATTTTTTGGCGACACAGTCAACAGTCGACCCCTCTCTCTCCTCTCCTCCGTCGTTGCTCAGTACCACGAGCCATGGCCGTAGATGTGGTACCCCCAGAGCAGCGCAAGACCGTCTTTGTGGTCGGTCTTGGCATGGTCGGCATTGGTGTGCCGTGTTCCGTGCAGTCGAAATCCTGACGCTAATGGAGATATGTAGCTTTTATTGAAAAGCTGCTCAATCTCGATACTCGGATGAAGTACAAGGTGGTGACATGCGGAGAGGAGATGCACCGTAAGTTCTTGCCGGTGCATTCGATGAGCTCACACTGAGTAACTCGACAGTGGCATACAACCGAGTCGCTCTGACTGACTACTTCCAACACCGCAACGTCGAGAAGCTGTACCTCAATCAACGTGCGTCCACTTCCTGGGCCAAGCAACGCGATGTCTGACTGCTTTCCGATAACAGCGGACTGGTATGCGGCACAAGATCCATCCCGCTTCCAGTTCCATGTCGGCGAAGCGGCCATCTCTATTGATACCCAGGGACACACAGTGACTACAGACAAGGGCAGAACAATACCGTACGACATGTGTGTCCTCGCCACCGGCTCCGACGCCACTCTACCGAGTTTTGTGAACTCTTCCGTCAAAGGCATCTTCGTGTACCGCAATATCTCGGATCTCAACAAACTCCTTGAATATTCCCAGACGGACACCGTGAAAGGGCAGCCCGTGAGTGTCTTACTCCTTTCTGCCCACAATCGACTCTTACACGACGAGACAGGCAGCAGTCGTTGGCGGAGGCCTGCTCGGCTTGGAGGCCGCCAAAGCCCTATACGACCTCGAGGAAGTCGGAACCGTCTCCATCATTCACCGCCAAACGTACCCGCTCTCTCGTCAGCTGGACGCAGCGGGCGGCGAGATCGTCCTGCGTCGTATCGAGGCGCTCGGCGTCCAGGTCCTCGGCAACGTCTCGCCCAAGTCCATCACGACCGAGACCGCAGACGGCGAGGAGGTGCTCACGGGCGTAGAGCTCGGCAACGGCACCGTCGTGCCCTGCCGCATCGCGGTCTTCTCCGTCGGCATCCGCCCGCGCGACGAGCTCGCGATCGCGGCGGGCATCGCGTGCGAGGGAGACAACGCCGGGGGCCGCGGCGTCGTCGTCGACGACCTCCTGCAGACGAGCGCGCCGGACGTGTACGCGATCGGCGAGTGCGCGTCGTGGCAGGGCCAGACGTACGGGCTCATCGCGCCCGGCATCGAGATGGCGGACATCCTCTCGTTCAACCTCACGCAGACCGCAACCGCGGTCGGCGGGTTCGCGCCGCGGAAGATGGTGCGTTTTTTTTTTCTCCCGCTCGGGGGTTTTTCTGATGGATTTTAATCCGCCGACGCGTGTTGTGCACACCAAAAACAGAACAATCCGGACCTGTCGACGAAGCTCAAGCTCGTCGGCGTCGACGTCGCGTCCTTCGGCGACTACTTCGCAGACCGGCGCCAAGCGGAGGACGGCCCGTCGCCCCGGAGCACGGCGTACAGCGTCCGCAAGCCCGCGCCTGCGACGAGCGCGCCGCTCTCGCACGACCAGCGCGACCCGTTCAAGGGCAAGGTCTGGGAGGTCAAGGAGAGCGCCGCGGAGCCCGTCAGCGCGGCGCCGACGCTCACTGTCACGGCGCCGGCAGACGACGCCTCGTCGGTGCAGAACGGCTCAGGGGTGGATGGGAAGGAGAATGGGGAGGTGCAGAGGCGCGCGGACGCGTCCGCGCCCAGGAAGAGGCACGGACACGCTGCGGCCACGGAGGGCCCCGTCGAGACGCTGACGTACCGCGACCCGTTCGGGGGCGTGTACAAAAAGTACATCTTCAGCGCGGACGGGAAGTACATCCTCGGCGGCATGATGGTCGGCGACACGAACGACTACGTCAAGCTCCTGGCGCTGGTCAAGAAGAAGGTTCGTCGGTCCCCCTCGCTGGAGGCGGGTGCGCTGAATCGCACGCTCTTTGCCAGAAACCACTTGAGGTCCCGCCGTCGCAGTTCATCGCCGGGTCTGGCGGCGGCGACGATTCGGGCGAAGATCTGGACGACGACACCCAAATTTGCAGCTGCCATGTATGCCCCCTGCTCTTCGATATCGTCCCCGTGATACTAATTGCTGTTCGCAGAACGTAACAAAGGGTCAACTGGCGGCTTGCGTGAAGAATGGTGTCGACTCCCTGAACGACATCAAGCAAAAGACAAAGGCCGGCACCGGATGTGGCGGGTGTACGTATTGTGTTATCGACACTGGAAGTTTGCTGAAACTTTGCATCTGAAGGCATGCCGCTCGTAACAAACATCTTCAAGTCGGAGATGCGCAAGAGCGGACTGGAGGTCAGCAACAATCTCTGCCCACACTTTGCCATGACGCGCGCAGAGCTGTTCAACGTCGTCAAGTTCGTTTCCTCGTAGCCACCTCACCTGAATTCCGAGCATGACTTTGTGCTTCACAGAATCAAAAAGCTCAAGACCTTCACCGAGATCATGGCATCGTCCGGCGTCAACAAAGACGCCGTCGGCTGCGAGATTTGCAAGCCTGCAGTTGGTAGCATACTTGCATCGCTGTATAACGAGCACATCATGAACCCAGTGCACCATGCGTAAGTACAGCCTCTGTATTCCCTGCTGACGCGCGGCTCACGGCTGCTGCTGACAGGAACCAAGACACGAACGACCGGTTCATGGCCAACATCCAGCGGAACGGCACCTTCTCCATCATCCCGCGCATCGCGGCCGGCGAGATCACGCCAGACAAGCTGATCGTGCTCGGCCAGGTCGCGAAGAAGTGTACGCTCCTCTCCTCTCTCTCTCTCACGCGCCCGCTCCGAACGTCTCACCTGACGCGGAACAGATGGCCTCTACACGAAGATCACCGGCGGCCAGCGCATCGACCTCTTTGGCGCGCAGAAGGCGGACCTTCCCTCCATCTGGAAGGAGCTCGTCGACGCCGGGTTTGAGAGCGGCCACGGGTATGGAAAGGCGCTCCGCACGGTCAAGTCGTGTGTCGGTACGAACTGGTGTCGGTACGGGATCGGAGACTCGGTCGGCAGTAATCCCTTCTCTCGTGTCGTCTCGTTTGGTAGGGAATGGTTTGACGCATTTGATAGTGGCGATTGCCCTCGAGGAGCGGTACAAGGGTATCCGCGCGCCGCACAAGTTCAAGGGCGGCGTCAGCGGATGCGTGCGTGAATGTGCCGAGGCGCAAGGGAAGGACTTTTGGTCTCATCGCAACTGACAAGGGATGGAACAGTAAGCTCCTTCTGCGTCGTCGTCAGGTGTGAATGCTGAGTGTATGCGCAGTCTTCATCTGCGGGAACGGCGGCGCGAACCCGCGACATGCCACGCTTTTTGCGACGGACGTCCCACCGTCGCACGCGATACGCATCGTCGACCGCTTCCTCATGTACTACATCCGCACCGCGGACAAGCTCATGCGCACTGCGCGGTGGGTGGAGCAGATGGACGGCGGGATCGAGGTACGCCTGGCGGTCGCATCCATGCGTGTTTTCACTGACGGCGAGGCTGCAGAGGCTGAAGAAGATCCTTCTCGAAGACGAGTTGGGTATCTGCGCGGACCTGGAGCGCGAGATGGACGAGCTCGTGGGGACGTACTACGACGAATGGGCCATTGTCGCGAACGACCCCGAGCGCCAAAAGCAGTTCAGGCAGTTCGTGAACACGGTGCGTCTCCCCTTCTCTCTCCGATTCCTTTCTAAGATGCTGATATGGGGTTACGTTTCGCCAGCCACAACGCGTGCAGACAGTAGAACCTGTCGTGGAGCGTGGACAACCGCGTCCGGCAGACTGGGCGAAGACGAGTCCGGCTGTGCACCTCAAAGCGAGCGACATCCCGGCGCCGAAGGAGACGTGGCAATGGCGCAAGCTCGCGAGAGTGGATGACTTGACACCCACCGATGCTGGCACAACGTGAGTTTGCTCCGTGTCTTCCGCCCCTTAGACGGTCTTTGTGTGCTCATGTCCGCGTGCTAGGTCTGCTGCCGTCAAGTATGGCGAAAGTCAGCTGGCCATCTTCCATGTGCCAAGGCGAGGCTATTTCTGCACGCAACAAGTATGTCTCTCGCCGTCCCTTGTACGTACCCATCGTTGACCTGCTGGATGACAGATGTGCCCGCACAAGCGCGCCTTCGTCCTGGAGCACGGCTTGATCGGGGACGATCCTAACACCGGCAATCTCTATATCTCTTGTGCGCTCTCCCCTTCTCCCCTTCAGCTATGCTTGCGCTGACGGCATCCGGGCAGGCCCGATGCACAAGCGGAACTTCTCTCTGACATCGGGTGCCTGTTTGAACGACGACAACTACAGCATCATTGCGTTTGACGTCCGCGTTGAAGACGACGAAATAAGCGTGCTCCTACCAGAAGAGAAGGACCTCGACGCCGTCATTGCGACGCACCGTTGGATGGTTAAGCGCGACACCGCACAGGCGCTCGACGGCGACGCGCGTACGAAAGAGAGCAGTGCCGTGGAGATCGTCGGTCCCAAGGACGAGGTGGTCGGCGCTGGGTGTGAGTCAGCATGTGGAGATAGCAAGTTGGAGTGGTGAATGACTCAAGCGAGTGGCGGATATTGTTACTCCATCTTAGAGGTTGTTAATCTCGCAAAGTTGCTAAAGCCGGTGGACTGGGGATTTTCCCGTACTTTGTATATGTATCGCTACCAGATTTTTGAGACTAGAGTAATTTGGCCATGTAAAGAAGATAAAATTTAGCAAGGAAGATTACAATACCGTGACTAGTAATGAACTTTCCTAGCTTTTGCCCATAGCAATTAGCAATGCGTAGTGGTGGGGCGGGCATCTCGGCACTCGCTATTGGCGCGCCCAGAGATCCCTGGTCGAGTTCCCGTGGCGTGCTCAGATGGCACTGGCTCTTATTCCCCAAATTTGCCAGCGATGCTTTTACGGTAGGCACTCAATGTCTTATGTAAAACTGTCATGTACATCCCCAGACTTGATCATTTCTGCTACTAAGCTCGAAGTAATCAATACGTGCCACAAGCGTGAACTATGCAAAGTTTCGCACACGACTCTTGCTGATACTGACATGTGTGTCAGCGACATACTATCAGTATATATGCAAGGCAAATGTAAAGGGGCACGAGCTAATCCCCAATCTCACTGGAGTTCGCCGTTGATGCTCCCGGAAATCTCCGGCCACCCTGGCGTGTTCAGAAGGCGCCGGCTTTCGTTCCTCAGATCTGCCAGCGACGCCGTTACGGTAAGTGCCCAAAGACTAAGTTGTTAGGCATGTCGTCAGATTTTTTTTCCTGCTTTAGAATTATGCTATTGCGATGCATGGTGCAAAGTCTCTCTAGACTCTGTCCTCGCCTTGCGGCATACCGTTCTCATCTATTCAGGACCCCAGCAAAGTTGAACTTCAGGCCTGTTCGGCATCAGATACGCCTCGAGCACACCACGATATCTGTTGCAGGAAGCCCCGCCGTTGACCTCCCCGACATTGCGTACTATCAAGCCGACTCCGGCCTCTCCGTGGGCTTCATAGGAACGGATAGTAACGCAACTCCCCCTCTTGACGAACTCGAGGCCGCCGGTAAAAGAGTACGTCTGATACATGGGGTACACCAGGAGATAGTGGCGGCACTCAATCGGAACGATGTGGATCTCGTCTCTACTCTATGGCCGTCTCTGCGGCAGCTTCAACCTCTTGACTTCATGAATCGTGAATGCACTTCCACATATTCGGATCTCATTGCGGGTCTCCAAACAGATCACGAATCTTCTGAGTACACCGGACTTACAGATCTCGACGAACTGGCGGCCCTCGCATCTGCAAAAGATATCCGCAGCTCTTCAGGTCTTTGGGCACGCATGCATCACTACTTATCGAAGAGAAATCCCGATGGAGCATTGCGCCTTTTCGACCACTTGGACATACTACTGATGGAACGGTCCGCCTATGCAGTGCGTTTCCAGGGGCACAACATCACAGAAGCATACAATCGTCTCGTTAAAGCAATTGGGATACGAACGCGACACCATCCCCTGACCATCTGTTACTTCTTGATTGCACATGCTATGAAGGACTCGATCACTCCCGTGCTAAAAGTCTTCACTCAGAGTTCTCTTGTCCGCACGACATACACTGAGATAAAGTTATCTATGCCAACTATCGCAGGGGACCTATCCTTACGCGACAAGGCGGTGGAGTTCGCCGGCCGCGCCAATGCTGCGAGGATGTGCTCAATTCCCCTCGAGACTCTGCGAAAACATGTTAATCGAATCAGTGGGTCCCGCTCCCTCCTGCATCTTTGCGATGACATCCTCGGGGAATGCCTGCGGAGCGACTCCCGTCTCTTCCTCAAGGGATCTGAACCGCCCGGCTCTGATCAGTTCTACGTCGTGATGGAAGAGGAACACTGGGCCATACTCATTGGAGGACTCACACGCGCCCGCCAATTCGACGCCGCAAAACGCATCTGGGACGGTGTAAGCAAGCTTGTCTCACCCATGCCAATGTGCATCTGGGCAGCCGCTATCGACGGATTCGCTTCCGTGTCGAGGTTTGACCGCGCACAAGCGACGTGGGATGCACTGCGCTCCGTAGAGCCTACTCCGGGCGCGGTAACCTATGCGGCCTACCTCAGCTCTTTGTTCAGCGAGGGACGCATGCAAGACGCTATGGCCCTCTTCGACGCTTTTCAAAAGCTCGTCGGCAAGCCATCACACCAAGTCGATGATCCAGCGGTGCTATCGGTATACGACATCGTGTTGAAGTGGCTTCTACGCCAGTCACAGGTCGACAAAGCGCGGCAAATACTCGACCGCATGAAGGCCAAAGGCCCACATCCTGGTGCCACCTCGTTCAATACGTTCCTCAGACACTACGCACAGAAGCGAGACACGAAGGGTATCAAGGCCATTTTCCAGGAGATGAGTGTATCGGGAGTGGTCGCTGATACCTACACGGTCTCAGTCCTCCTGACGGCTCTCTTCCCGGTGCGCACGGATGCCACACAGCTGGTCTTCGCACTCATGCGTCAGAACGGTACCGAAGTTCATCACGATGGCGTCTGCTTGCCGCTGCTTGAGCACCTCAGTGCAGCCCAGGACGACGACGCGTTCTCCGCGGCAATCGATGTCCTCAGCTACATGGAAGCGGACCCATCCGGCAAGCTCCGCCCGACAGAGCTCGCCTACCTTACCGTTCTGTGCGGCATCGAGCGTAGGTCGTGGACAGACCCATCGCTAGCACGCAGCTTCCGGAAAACGGTGCTGGACAAGCTCAGAGCATCCGGTCGCTCCTTGACGACCCGCTCGCGTGCGGTACAACAAGTAATCGAGGCCTGTCTCGAGAACCCCCACGGGCCTTCGGGGGCGCGCCAGGCGTTTGCGTACTACAGCATGTACAGGCGTCGCCGGTACGAAGTCAGTCCGGACGTGTACCTAGCTCTGCTCAGCCGATTGAGGAGGAGACGTGAGTGGGAGATAGCAGACAAGGTAGTGGCGAACGAAGAGGATCATGTAGCGAACCCGGCCTGTCGTCTCGAGATCGATTGCATCAGGCATCGCATACCTCTGCAAAACGATGCTCAAGCAGAGTTTCCGGGTGTGTATTAACAGTCATTCTGCGTGGGCAGCCGCTCCCATGTCGTGGCTGCGCGCAACAAATCATTGAGTTGGACGCTCGCACCAAGAGCTTCTATGGAGTTTGTATAGAGAATAGCGCTGGATTAGAAATGTAGACGCTGAAGTAACAAACGCTACTTACTAGCACTTATCACCTTAATAAATGGCTCAACTCCGCTGTGATATGATCAGCCCGCCGTAAAACCCATGAGTCGTTCGGTCACTCGGTGTATTGGTACGGGTGTAAAAGCCAAAAAGTCTGGGGGTAGCCTTGCTTAGCCGACACAGTCCACGTATACACACCTGACTGGGCGTGGAAAGGAAGAGGGATATATAATTCAGCTGAGCACACTGCCAGTGAGCACAAAGTTGTGACTTTCTGATGATTTCGGAATTTGCCACTGATGCACCCGGAGATCCCCGGCCACGTTCCGGTGGCGTGCCCAGAAGATGCCGGCTCCTGTTCCCCAGATTTACCAGCGACGCCTTTACAGTAAGTGCTCAAAGGCTTGATTTTGTCAGACATATTGTCAGATTTTTTTTTTCTGCTGTAGAATCATGCTATTGCGGTGCATAGCACAAAAACTCCATCCTCGCCTTGCTGCAGGCTACTCTCCTCTATTGTCATCAACGGTCTGCTTGCTGTCCACTAGGACTCCAGCAAACTTGAAACTCAGGCTTTTTCGACATCAGTTGCGTCTCGAGCACACCACGGTACCTGGCGCAGGAAGTCCCACCGTCGACCTTCCCGATGTCGCGTACTACCAAGCTGCCCCAGGACTCTCTTTGGGCTTCCTACGAACAGATGGCAGTACAACAGTCCCTCCCGCTAACGAACTCGACGCCGCCAATCAAAGATTACATCGAATGCACGAAGTGCACCAAGAAATAGTGACGGCTCTCAAACGGGGCGACGTAGATCTTGTCTCTAATCTCTGGCCGGCTCTGTGGCGGCTCCGCCCCCTCCACTTCATGAACCGTGACTGTGTTCTCGAATACTCGGATCTCATTGCGGGCCTTCAAACTAGCAACGATTCTTCCGAGTACACGGGGCTCGCCGCCATCGACGAACTAGCAGCCTTTGCGGCTGCAAAGGACTTTAGCGCTTGTGCAGGTTTTTGGGCGCGCATGCATCACTACCTATTGAAGAGAAACCCTGACGCAACTCTGTCTCTTTTCAACCATGTTGATGCACTACTAGCGGAACGCTCTGAGTACGTCACGAGTTTTCAAGGGCGTGGCCTTGGAGAAACATACAATCGTTACGTTTGGGCAACTGGGATGCGAGCGTTGCATCATCACCTTACCATCTGTTATTTCCTATCTGCACACGCCATGAAGGACTCGATATCTCCTGTAATAAAGGCCTTCTCGCAGAATCCTCGCATTCGCATGACATATACCACGATGACCATGTCCATACCGACTATTGCAAACGACTTAGCTCTACGCGACAAAACGCTAGAATTCGCCTCCCGCGCCAACATCGCAAGGATTTATTCCCTTCCCCTCAAAAGCTTTCGTAGGCATGTCGAACAAATGAAGAGCGACTCTCCTTCATTCTTGTATGCATGCAACAATGTACTCAGGGAGTGCCTGCGGGACGACACCTTCCTCTTCTTCAGGGAATCTGAACCGCCCAGCTCTGATCAGGTTTACGTCGTGATGGAAGAGGAACACTGGGCCATACTCATTGGGGAGCTTACACGCACCCGCCAATTCGATGCCGCAAAACACATCTGGGATGGTGTGAGCAAGCTTGTCTCACCTATGCCAATGTGCATCTGGGCAGCCGCTATCGACGGATTCGCCTTCGCGAAACGATTCGACCGTGCTCAAGCGACGTGGGATATACTGCGCTCCGTAGAGCCTACTCCAGGCGCGGTGGCCTACGCTGCCTACATCAGCTCTTTGTTCAGCGAGGGACGCATGCAAGACGCTATGGCCCTCTTCGACGCTTTTCAAAAGCTCGTCGGTAAAACGTCATTTCCCGCCGATGATCCTGCGGTGCTGTCCGTATACGATACCGTACTGAAGTTGCTTTTACGCCTATCGCAGACCGACAAAGCGCGGAAAATCCTCGATCGCATGAAGGCCAAAGGCCCACGTCCCGGCGTCGCCTCGTTCAATACATTCCTCAGGCACTACGCGCAGAAGCGAGACACGAAGGGTATCAAGGCCATTTTCCAGGAGATGAGTGTATCGGGAGTGGTCGCCGACACATACACAGTCTCAGTCCTCCTGACGGCTCTCTTCCCGGTGCGCACGGACGCCACCCAGCTTGTCTTCGCGCTCACGCGCCAGAACGGTACAGAAATTGATCATAATGTCTGTGTCCCGCTGCTCGAACACCTCAGTGCAGCCCAGGACGACGACGCGTTCTCCGCGGCAATCGATGTCCTCAGCTACATGGAAGCGGACCCGTCCAGCAAGCTCCGCCCGACAGAGCTCGCCTACGTTACCGTTCTGTGCGGCGTCGAACGCAGGTCGTGGACAGACCCGGCGCTGGCGCGCAGCTTCCGGAAAACGGTGCTGGACAAGTTCAAAGCGTCCGGCCGCTCCTTGACAGCCCGCTCGTACGTGATGCAACGGGTCGTCAGGGCCTGTCTCGAGAATCCTCACCCTTTGGGAGCGCGCCAGGCGTTCGCGTACTACAACGCGTACAGGCGCACTCGGCAGGACATCAACCCAGTGGTTTATACAGCTCTGCTTAGGGGATTGAGGAGGAGATGCGAGTGGGAGATAGCGGACAAAGCAGTGGCGGACGCAGGGGATTATGTGGTGCACCCGGCCTGTCGTACCGAGATCGACTGCGTTAAGCATCGCATACCTCTACAAGAAAACGCTCAGGCAGAGTTCTAAACATGCATCAATGGATATTCTGCGTGGACAGCCGTTCTCACGTCGTAACTACGTGCAATAGGTTACTGAGTTGGATGCTTGCACCAGGAACTTCTGGAAGAGACAGGCCCAGCTTACGGGATAGCTTTACCGACCCAACCTACATACACGCACCCCGACCGGGATGCGGAGAAGGGAGGGTAGTAATGAAGCTGAGCGCGACGTCGTTATCCCACAAGGTGTAGTGTACGCAGTCAGGGCTCAAACGGTAGTGAGCGATGTGTACCCAATGAAATAGCAATTAAACCACTACGACATCACGATGAAGCAAAAACCTCAGTCAATGAGGTATTTGCGTTTGAAGAACGCGCGAAGGTGGAATATTTGCCACACTCCCAAACAAATGAGCGCCACGAGTGTGAACCATGCAAAGTTCTGCACTCGCTTCTTTGTTGATACTGATACGTGTGTCAGCGACATACTACCACACGAGGTATATAGAGACGCACCGTTTGTTAACTGAAATCTCTCCTCGCGTTTCTTGAGATAGCTCAGTTCGTCCACAACTTCCTTGACTATACCCTCTAGTTTCCTCATCTCTGTCTCGAGCGCAGATAGTGACTCTTGGTTGGCAATTGCACTACAAGAGTATATTGGTGTGCGCAAATAAAGGCGACGCGTGTAACTCACTTGTAGTCGACAGCGTCCGCACCGATATCGACATCCAGGTCAATGACACGTTTTTGTTGCTGGCCGCCCTCAGCTTCGCAGAGAATCATAGCTCAGCGAATGCACAACGATGTAGAATACCTAGATACTCACCGACATCGAGGTAGTTCTTGAAGCAGACCCCCACGTCCCCTTCCGTCGAATGCGCAGTGATGGCGAACCGCGCCTCGCCGTTGATTCCACGTTTGCTGAGGTAGACGTTCTTCTCCGGCCCAGAGTCCACAATCTCAATGTCTACGCGCTGTCCATCTCCAGGGCCTACATTGGCGGTCACGATGACCAGTGCACCCGAGTGTGCGGCGTTCCAAATGCACTTTCCTGGTGGATATCGGTATGCCTGCAGCTCGAATTTGATCGCGTATATGGGTACCGTGCAGAGCAGCAGTAGTGTCGTCAAGAGGAGCGTGGGTAGGTGGCTCGGTCGCAGCCTTGTTAGCATGGTGTATTGCGCCAGAAATACGAGATTATAAGTTAGTAGGCCAGGGCTGGAACGTCGGCAGGATGTGCCAGCAGGACGTGGTGAGACGGAAGCGGCGAAGCGCCCGCTTGTCTGTTGCTGCCACAACCACCTTCGCTTGCAACGCCGACCTTCTCCTCTGCCGTGCGTTCTCCTGCGTGATCACAGTATGCGTTCTGATTGACATGCACGCAGATATGCGGACGAGAAGAATTAGCACGGAAAGGGGCATGCGATACTCGTTTCAGCGCCAAGTCTCGGCACAACCACGACCTCATGCTGACCGCGTTTTCATCGTCGACGGACCGCTGCACGTAGCAGCTGATCAAGAACTACGTAGTGGAGCTTTGGCTCACTCCGAGATATAAAGCTCCGGATATCTAGGGCATAGGATGGCCCAAAACCGACTCCAGAAATGGCCGAACTGCCATCCAGCAAGATCATCAACCTTGAGGTGCGCATAATGCACATGCACTAGCTCGAAACTGCTAAGCAGGACGAACTCTCTGGCGATCTCAGATTTTTCGTCTACCACCGCGATGGCTCTTCATCCGTGTAGAGACAGAGGGGGAATCGTTGGCTGGGGTGAAAGTTCCTTGGAAGGTACAGTATCTTTATCCCTCCCTGGTGTACGAATAGCAATGCAGATGACTGCGCTGTGCAGGTCACACCGAGGCTGTAGAAGGTGCTACCATGGCTCTTCGCGAAACGTTTCTCGGATGGGATGGCGACCGCATTCAGGACATCTGGCAGCACGCTTACCGGTCCCGCTTTTACCGCGGCGGACCCGTCCTCATGGCAAGTGGGATACCGCTCCCCTTCCATGCTACTAATTATCGAACTCTATGTCCCTTCAGTCTGCACTTTCTGGCTTGGACATTGCCCTATGGGACATTAAAGGCAAGAAGCTCGGCGTGCCAGTCTGGCAGCTGCTCGGAGGCAAGGTCAGAGACAAAGTCAAAGTCTACGGATGGATAGGCGGAGATTCTCCGCAAGCGGTGCTTGAAGGTGCCACAAAGCGCAAAGAGCAAGGCTTCACTGCTGTCAAGATGAACGGAACTGGTGGGCTCTACCAACTGCCTTGACAATGGCCGCTGACTCCCCGCTGCAGGCGCGGTAGATTGGATAGACTCCCCAAGCGTCCTCATGGATACTATTGCCCGTGTTCGTGACGTGCGCTCTCTCGGTCTCGATGTCGGTGTCGATTTCCACGGTCGGTTGCACAAAGGCATGGCAAAGCAGCTCGCGAAACTGTTATCGCCCCTCCAGCCAATGTTCATCGAAGAACCGCTCCTACCCACGCAACCTGAGGAGATTGCTGACCTTGCGCAAATGATCGTGACGCCCATCGCTCTCGGAGAGCGGTTGTACACAAGGCACGACTTCCGCCCTTACTTGGAAAAGCGGGCGATAGACATCGCTCAGCCAGATGTAAGTGCTCCAATTCCTGCTCCCGAGGCGTTTACTCACTCATTATTCAGGTCTCGCACTGCGGAGGGATCAGTGAGCTCCATCGTATAGCCTCGCTGACTGAGATCTACGACGTTGCGCTTGCACCCCATTGCCCACTTGGTCCTATCGCGCTAGCGGCTTGTATCCAGGTAGATCTTACCGCACCTAATTGTAAGTGAATCCACTACCATGTCTTCACGTCGAAGCTAATTCTTGAGCCCCAGTCGTCATCCAGGAAATGAGCTGGCAGGTCGGTAGCCCTATAACGTGATTTATTCGACAACAGAACTGAAGGCATGCTCTCCACAGATGCACTACAACCAAGGCGCAGACCTCTTCACGTATATCGTTGACCCTGCAGTGTTCGCTATTGAACACGGGTATATCGAAGCTTTGTCAGGTCCGTGAACGGAATATTGCGCGTCAGTCGCAAGCTAACATCGTTTTGAAGGCCCTGGACTTGGCATCGAGGTTAATGAGACCCTCGTTCGTGAGACTGCTGCCCGTTACGTCCAGGAGAAGGCCTGGAGGAACGATGTGTGGACTGGGGCGGATGGGTCTCTGAGAGAATGGTAATAGTGCTTTTCGATGATGCGGAATCGGACTTTCACCATCGAACCTTGTTGAAGGTTGAATGACGAATCTCATCAAGTATGAATCTCCATCAAGTATGCGTATGACAATTGATACATTTTGTCGTCCTGATTATGAAGAGGATAGATTTTACAAGGAAGGGAGCTCTGCCATAGTAAACTAAAGCAATGGCGTGAGTTTAGTGGCGCCAGGCCAACAATGTTGCCTTTGACAATCGACGCTGCAGTGCACTGTCTTCCTGCATGCCATACAGACCTTGCGTAAGCCTTGAGGGAAACTAAATCCTGCAGGTCCTGCACGTCGCACCTGAGCTGTTCCGGCTGAAACAGCCGCCGGTGCGCGGTGCGCGTGACGTCATTTTTCAACGGCGTATGGTCCTCCGCCGCGAATTCCTCACGCGCCGCACGCGTAGATAGGAGACTGGCGTGGTCTGGTAGAGAGTGACGCTGTATTTTACCATAGAATACATACTGGAAATGTTCCTCATATTTCCACTCTCTGCAACGCTCGACGTGGGCCGGAAGCAGATACTTCCAAGTCGTCGTCTCGTCCGAGCCGAGCCGAGCCGAGCCGAAAACGCTTGTACACGATTGGCTCAAGCTCTCCCAAGAGATCGCGGGGGTTCATCCGGCCACGGGTAGCGTGTATGCATTGGCGATGATATATATGTACCACCGTGACGCCAAGTCGGGCACAAAGCCCCTACGAAGCGCTAGCCAGCACGGAGAAGTGTCCGCGCGATACCCTGCTGAGCCGACGAAGTGCTCAAAGGTGCAAGCTACTTGTTCTGGATTTGAAACTGTCCTGCATAAGCAGCGCGCGCGTACAAAAGAATGAAAAGAATGAGGAGACTGTTAAGTGCCTTTGGGGTAGCAACTCAAAACACTTGCGACACACCAAGAATGGCTGGCTTTATGACATAAAGAAGTTCAGCCCCCACGGATCGTCCAATATTGAGATCGCCGCAGGCCAGAAGCTATACACTAGCGTTTACTTCGGGAGGAAGATCCCAAGCCAGCGAGACTCCTGACATGTTGCTATACAGGCGGGGCTTTGGGCTAGTGTGCTGTTGACTAGGTGGGACATAAAATTACAGGTAGATGATTGTAGTCAGATAAGTTCTACTGGTACAGGGTTGTGATCTTACAGCCGGTTTTGCCTGGCCAGGTTTGTCCAGCGCAGGGTTAGGGTTACCCGCCATAAACGGCAAAGTCGGCAGAGGGGGGCTTTCTTCCGACTTTCAGACTGCACTCAGCATCCCCTCTTCGATACAACTCTTAACTGCTGCCTCTTGCTCTGAACCTGAGCAAAAATTTATGCCTGAATAAACCATATGCAGATGAATTCGGGTTAGTCTCGCATTGCTCATGACGACGCTGAAGAGGTCGGGGGCCGCCTTACGTATAATTTTAAACTGCCCATTTCGTGGACACGCGACACCTAAGGACGTCGCTAACTCGGCCTGTTATCATGTCCTATCGGTTTCCGGTGCCTATTCGATCACTAATTTTTCGAGATAGCGTCCATGTGGATGTGTAGGGAAACGCTGGGAAGCCGCCGGAAACAACATACTTTCTCCTACCGCAAGGGTCGCCTCCGGAGCGAGTTATAAAGTTCAATCAACCTGTGGGGTTGATGCCTGTGGTCGGTTGACCCTCACCTCCGTCTTTTCCTCGTCGGTGTCGTCCCCCGCCATGTCCGTCGAAGACGAGAAAATGCAGAGCATCCCCCAGCTCGACGTCGAGTCTGTCTCGTACACAGATTCAGACGATGCCGTACTTGAGACGCTCGGCTACAAGCAGGAGTTCAAGCGCGACTTTTCTTTCCTTGGTCTCTGGTCGCTGTGTTCCAGTGAGCTCGCGGTACTGCCGGGTGTAGCGGGCACCATCTGGTATGTTGCCCGCTGTGTCAAGAGTTATTGATACTCACTCAATGCAGGTACACGATGGGCTACTGGTGAGTCGCTATCAAAGCGGCGAAAGGAACGTACGCTGAAGTGATTAGTGGACTGGTGGGCATGACGTGGGGCTGGCTCGTTGGTGCAGTCATGGGACAGGTGCATGATGCTCAATACATCTTTGAGAAAATACTGAAAATAAACATAAACATAAAAATGCAGCCTCTTGCTTACTCCTTGGCTGAGCTTGCCTCTGCTTACCCCACCTCTGGCGGTCTCTATTACTGGGCTTATATGACCGCGGCTCCCCGGTATAAAAAGGTGCGCACTGGTCCTTATCCGGCCTTATGTTATTTAAGTTTCACTGTCAATGTTTCAGTTATCGTGCTATGTTGTCGCATGGTCCATGATTATCTCGACACCACTCTCATGCTGCTCTATCACATACTCAGCCGCCCAGCTATTGATAGCAACAGCTCAGCTCGCGTATCCAAACTACATTGCGACTGTCTGGCATGTCTATCTCGTCTATCTGGCGATGATGTTCCTGTCTTACGTGATTATCTGCCTGCCGACGAAGTATGTGAGCTGGTTCAACATCTGGGCAACCATGCTCGGTATCGTCGTCCTCATCGTGACGACGATCATTCTCCCTGCAAAAGCAACGAATTTGAACTCTGCGAAGGAAATCTTCACGAGTGTATATTTCTTTCTATCTTGTCTGCCGCTCTCGTTATCTAACGCAAACTATGCAGGTGTACAACCAAACCGGCTGGCCGTCGGGCTGGGCGTTCTGTATGACCTTCCTGTCCGCGACGTGGACATTGAGTGGGTATGATGTTGCGGCGCACGTCGCCGAGGAGACGAGCCACCCTGCCATCGCGGTGCCCCGCGCGATGGTGTGGAGCACATGGTCGTCAGCGGGGCTCGGATTCATCTATCTAATCTCGCTCGCGCTGTGCTCGACGGATATCGATGCGCTCATGGCGAACCCGCTGGGGCAGCCGATCGGGACGCTGACGGCGAACGTCCTGGGCGAGAAGGCGGGCGTCGCACTGCTCGCGATCAACTTCTTCTCGCAGTTTGGTTGCGGCGTCGCATTCGTGAGTCGCCTCCGATATACATGTCTCAGACGCAGGCTCATCGTCGTCACACAGTTTGTCGCGGCGTCGCGCATCTTCTTCGCGTACAGCCGGGACAAGGCGCTGCCGTTCTCGGGTTGGCTGAGCAAGATCGACAAGCGGACGCACACGCCGAACAACGCGTCGCTCGTCGTGTTCCTGCTCTCCGCGGGCTTCGGCGCGATTTCGATTGGGTCAGACACCGCGTTCGAGGCGTTCTTCTCGGGCAGCACGCTCGCGGGCCAGATCTCGTACATCCTCCCGGTACTCGGCCGCTGTCTTTACGAGGACAACCCTGAATACACATCCGGGCCGTACAACCTCGGACGCTGGAGCAGGAGCATCCGGTGGCTCGCCGTAGCGTGGAACTTTTTCATCATGCCGCTCGTCAGCTTGTGAGTGACTGCCGTAAATATTTGTTGCCCGCCTCCGAGCTAACGGTTCACCAGCCCGGACACTCCAATGCCTGCGCCGGCCGACATGAACTGGGCCGTCGTTGTGTATGTTCCTTTCCAGATTCTCGCGATGATATACTGGTGGTTCTGGGGGTACAAGTCCTTTACGGGCCCCAGGGCAAACCTCCCGAAGAAGGCGCCCAGGGACGGGGTGGACGAAGACGAGAAAGACAAGTAGATATGCTGCCTAGATTTCCTATTTGCTTGCGATTATGATTTGTACTGTTCCGTTTTTTTGCATATTGCTGGTGTTGTATTCCTGGAGTGTATCATGCACGTTCTTCGGTTCTCGCTGTATCCCTGTGTTTCTGTGTTCACGCCCTTTCGGCGTATTGTGATTCGTGATGAGGAAAATGCGGGTGATGGCGCAACGCTATGCCGTCGGGGTCTCGTGTGGTTCGTGATCAAAGCATGCGTATAGCAAAAGGTTTTCAGTACCTTAAAATTCGCGTACGGGGCGTGAGTGTTTTCAGACCTCAATTCACACAAAGAGGAAGAGGTTTGTCTCGTGAGAGCATCAGCATAGATCTGGGACTCCGAATCTCTACTATAATATAGAAGCATCGAATGCACCATGCATCCCGCAAGCCAGAGTCGATGCATGTCGCTGACAAAAGCCCTACCCGCTTGAGTTATCCACGGTCGGAGCGAGGAACGTCATAAATGTTCGGCGTTGTCTGAGTCGCCTTCGGCGGCACGTCGATGTCGGTTCCGTTGATGGCGGATCAAGCTGGTACATCAGCCAATTGCAGGCTTCAAATTCCGTGACCACACGGTGCGGCGGCCTTATCACCAATTGCCTGAGCGTCCAAGCTCGAAGCGCCAAGGCCTCGCTTCCGCACATTCTGACTTGTCTTCCACTTCAAAAGCCTGGGGCAAGGGACAGAACGAGGCTGTCGCACAATGCCTCAGCTTCAGCTGCCTGTGGCAGTCG